GTTCAGTGCATATGTATTTATGATTGTAATCTCTTCCTCTTCAAGTTTTCCCCTAATAAGTATGTAATGACCTTCTTTATTCTTTTGATCATTCTTGAAGTTCACATTGTCTGCAAACAAAATAGCTACCCTTGCTTTTTTCTGGGTTTCTGTTATATAGAATATTGTTTTCTATCCTTTGACTTTTAGTCTATGAATTTCCTTTTGGGTTAAATATGTTTCTTGTACACCACATATTGCTAGATTTTGTTTCTTCATCCACTCTGACAATCTATTTCTTTTTATTGGTGAGTTGATGGATATGTAGTGACTTATCCCTGTCATGTTTTCTTTTTTACTTTTTAAAAAAATTTTAGTTAAAGAAAGACAAAGCAAAACAGAAAACGGGTAGAAGTAGTACATACTTTCAAAGAGAAAAATAAACTAATAAATCACTAGTTGATGTTTACATATTGTCCCCTTACAAATAATTGTTCAAAATACAAAAGTGGAACATATAAGTGGGATTTCAAACAGTATCCTTGTCATATTATCTTTCTGTTGTTGGTTTTTCTATGTTTTCTGTTTAATTGTTTACCCTGCTTAGTGGTTTCCTTCTGCTGTTCTTGGGATTATAGGTACTTTATCTTTTTCTAGACTGTCTTTTAGTACTCTTTGTAGTGTTGGTTTGGTGGTCATGAATTTCTTCAGTTGTTCTTAGTCACAGAAAAATCTTACTTCTCCATCAATTTTCAAAGATAGTTTTGCAGGACACATAAATCTGGTTTGGAAGTTATTTTCTTTCAGGACTTGACTTCACTTCTAGCTCTTCTTGACTTGAAGGTTTGTGTTGAGTCTGCTGTGATTCTGATAGGTTTTCCTTCATAGGTGATCTATTTGTTTTCTCTAACAGCTTTAGTTATTCTGTTCTTGTGTTGAATTTCTTGAATCTTAATTATTATACGTCTGGGTGAAGATTTATTTTGGTTATGGTTAATCTGGCCATATATGCCTCACTTATCTGCATATCAGATTCTTTTTCCATGCTTGGAAATTTTTCTACTATCATTTCTCTCAATAGCCTTCTTATATCATTTATGTTGACCCCTGCTTTTTTTGACACCTATCAGTCTTATATTGTTTCTTTTTGCATCATCCTGTTAAATTGTTTTTTCCTGTTTCTTTGTTTATTTTAAGAGATCTTTTCTATCATGATCATAAGCTTCCATCCTGTCTTCAAGGTCTCATAGTCTATCTCCAGATTCATTCAGGCAGTTTTGCCAACTTTTAATGGAATTTTTAATTTCCCAAATATCCCTGTTAATCTGTTTCATATATTCTAATTCTGTATTACATTGTTCATTCAAGGTTTCCATTGTTTTCCTATGTTCTTATATTTTTTTCTAGATACTCTTTAGATACACTCAACATTTCTTTCATAATGTTTATCATTTATTTTTTTACCTGGGAGATTATTTCTGACCTGATTTCCTCTATAGCTTCATGTAATTGTTTCTTTTCTTTAGTTGCTACCATTTTAGAAAGTTGAGTCATGAATTTCCAGTGTCTTCCATGTCTTTATTTTTAAATTTTTTTTATTTTAAAGAGGGTAAAATTAAACAGAACAAAACAGATCATAAGAAAACAATTTAAGAAACACAGATTTCAAAGCAAGACCACTGGATATCTTCACTGTCTATCATATTATCTCCTGTTTTCTTCCAAATAGTTGTCCATATCTTCACACATAGTGAATACATACTGAACAATATAGTATTAAAAAGATCAGAACAGGATGATGAAGACATTTTAGGTCTTCAAGACCAGACATTAGGGAAGTCAACAATGGCTGCCATAATGTCTCGTGTTCTCTTCGAAATATTTGTTCATATCTTTACATATGTTGAAATTAAACAACAGAAAATAGACTAATATCATTCTGAACAGAAAATAATAGTATTGCTAGATTTTATATTCTAATGCTACAGAATTAGCACTGGGTATCTTAGTGTATCTTCTTCTTCAGGGTATCTGTTCATTACATCGTGCATTATCATAAACTGTTTGGAAGTTCTACCCATGGTATACCTATCCTTTCTGTATTATAGGGAAAAACAGATCAAAACAAGACAACAAAGCAAATTCCTAGAAAAACATGAAAAGAAAAAGACATATAAAACCACATTACTAGGTGATCTATCGTAGTTACTATGATGTCTCTTGTTATTTTTAATAGAATTGTTTATATCATCAGGCATAATATAATTGAACATAGCACTACATAGCAATATTAATAAATACACAACATTGGAGACATTGTAGGACTTCAGAAACAGTTAATAATCAAATAAGAATGAGTATATTATTGCATCTTGTCATCTTCAGAGTAGTTGCCTCTACTCTTAGACTTGATACTATCAAACATACCAAATTTGAATAAAATCAGTCAAGACAAAATAGCAGTCTAACAAGCCAGATTCAAATAAGATCAGTCTTATAAAATATTGGTAACTGAAAAAAAAAACAAATAAGATCAGTCATAGTAAGACAGTGTAATTAATAATTACACTCCAGTGTAAGTAATAAATACAGAGCTTCAGTTTAAGTTAATAAGGAATTAAGGATATTTACTGTAGCATATCCTGCTGTTTTGGGGATAGCTATCTGTGCTCTCAAATCTAGTATGAGTAGACAGACTGGAACAGAATAAAATCAAACTAAGCAGAGTGATAAGACTAATGTGGTTTTTAAATCCTGATAAACTATTAACAATGTCCTCTGCCTTCATTTTTTAGACAGTTCCTCCCCTTTCCCTTTCTCAGGGTGCTTTGTACATTTTGGGTCCCACTAACTCCTTTAGTTTTTAGATTGGGAGGGCAACCTGTTACCTATCTAAGTGGTGCTGAACCTTTTTACCCCTGAGCTTGATCTTGAGCTGTATTCCTTTAGCTACTAAAGCCTCAAGATTTTCCTTCCTTATAGCTGAGTAGTTCTCCACTACACAAAAGTGTCATGACTTTCCAACCTATCTGCAGCTGCTGAACAAGCTGGCCCTATTTTTCTCTGGTTCCCTGTTACATAGAGCATCATTTTCTCATCTTTGACTTTTGGTTCATTAACCCTCTTTCAGGTTTAGTATATTTCCTATTCAAAAACATCTGGATGGACCCTGTCTCTTGATCTGCTTTGCCTGATCTGCTTTGCCTGTGTTTTTTTTTTGTTAGTGTATCAAGGCCATCTATGTTAGAGATTATAGCCAACCTTTTCTGCCTCATCTCTGCTATGCTATTTTTTTGCTATTGATTGTCTACTTTTCTCCTTCATTCCACTGTCTGCCCTGTTCATTGAGGCTTCTCTGTCACTTTTGCTGGAATCCTGGTATTTTTTCTCTCTCTAGAATGTCCTTCAGTATTTTTTGTAGGTTGGATTGGTGATCACGACCTCCCACAGTTCCTGTTTGTCATGGAAACATCTTGTTTCTCCATTAAATTTGAGATACAGTTTTTCAGGGTACATCAATCTGGGTTGGAGGTTATTTTCTTTCAGGGCTTGGAATACTTCGCTCCAAGCTCTTCTTGATTTGATAGTTTGTGTCGAGAAGTCTGTCATGATCCTGATGGGTTTTCCTTTATAGGTGATCTGTTTCTTTTCTCTGACCACTTTTAATATTCTGTTCTTGTGATGAATTTCTGGGATCTTGATTATTTTATGTCTAGGTGTAGATCTGTTTTGGTTGTAGGTGGCTGGAATTCTATATGCCTCATTTATCTGTGTATCCTTTCCTTTTCATCTGCTTGGAAAGTTTTCCTTAATTATTTCTGTGAATAGCCTTTGTAATTCATTTGTGTTTACTCCTGCTTCATTTACATTTTCTATTCTTAAGTTATAGAACTCTTGTTGTCTTCTAACCTTTGTATTGCTACTTCCTGGTTCCTTGTTATTTTTAAGAGATCTTTTCTTTTATGACCATACATTGCAAATCTATCTTCAAGTTTTGAAAGTCTAACTTTAGTTTCTGTCGAGGAATTTTGCTAGCTTTCAATAGAGTTTTTAATTTCCTGGTAATCTCTTTGGATTTGTTTCATGTTTTCTAGATTTTGTTTATATTCTTCATCAAAGGTTTCTCTCCTTTTTCTGGGTTCCTGCATTCTTCCATCTGTGTCTTCTTGATAGGTATTTAGCATTTTTTATTAATCTTTTTATATCTTGTCTCACTTAAATTAGAATTTCAGTTTTAAGTTAGTCTATGAAGTCACAAAAGTATTTCTTTATTTCTGCTGATACTGTGGCTGATATTGCACGATTGCTGCCCTTGATCTCTTCTGTATTTACTTCTCCTGGACTTATTTTCCCTGGGTCAGTGGCTGGAGGCTTTTTCTTGTTTCTTTCTCTTGTCATGTTTCTGGTTTCTTTCAGATAGGTGTATGGTTGAGGTCTCAGGCCCTTTCCATATTGCCTACAGTTTTTTGGCTGGCTGGGGGCTTGCTGATCTCTCCAGTTTACTGTTATTTGAGGTGTATGCAGGGACTGTGGGTTGGCCCCTCTCCTCTGAGCCAGTCAACCAAGTGTCTTCTGCACGTTAGTCTGTGCCATGCAGATGTCACAGGTTTGGGACAGTTTCATCCCTGGCTATTGGGTCCTGACCAGGGGCATGACCCAGCCCAAGCGGATCCCACCAGTCCTCTTTGGGCCGGGCGGCTGACTGATGCCACTGCGGTTCCAGGTTCAGGCCCATCCTGCCCAACTCCAATATGTCATCCAGCCAGTTACCCCCTCCATGGTACCCAGTTCCTAGCACTTACCATGGGTTAATGCAGCTGTCCACTTTGGTTCTACTCTCTGTTGCGCCGCATCCTCCCACCAAGGGCCCTGAGCTCACCAACTCCCGATTTTGGTGGCCGCGACTTCAGCACGACTGTGAATTGTCTGACTCCCAGGCGCACCCAGCACAGCGCAGGACCAGCCCCAGTGTGAGTGTCTGGTTCCAGCCTTTTGTCCACATTTTCCTTCCTTTTTTTTTTTTTTTTTTTTCTTTTTCCTCAGTTTCTTCTTGGGTCATGAAAATCCCTCTCTTTTCATCTGGTCTTCTCACTGGTGTTAAATTCTAGTGTCTGAGTTATTTTTCTCAGAGAGACTCTATCCTGCCTACCTATCAAGCTGCCATCTTCAGACCCCAACCCAGTATCTTCCATTTCAGTGTCTCCTGGGTTTGTTGTTGGTAGGCTGGAGGATTGGAACTGCATCTTGCTCTTTGTCATTTTCCTGTGGGACCTGTGTGGCCAGGCACCTTCCCAAAGTATTTCACTGGATTGCTGTGCTTGGCAGAGCTTTGATCCTCTGATATCTACATGGCTAGCCATGGCACACCCCCAAACTATGGCCCTGGAGCCTTCCACTGTGATGGGCAAAGTTCAAAATCTTCAGGACCTATCAGCTAGGCTGGTCACTCCCTGATAGATAGCTCTGGCTCTCTGGGCTGGGCAGGGCTTAGTACCTCTGAGACCTGTGAGTTTGGCCAGGTCTTCCCCTGATGGATTGTGCTGGGATGCTGGGTTGGGCAGAGCTTGGATCCTCCTTGCAGCTAGCAGGGATTTACCCCCAGAATGTGGCATCAGGTCTTGCACCTCACTCATTGGAGTTCAAAATCTCTGGGACCCAGGTGGCTTGCTTGGACAAACACCTGATAGAGTGTTGCACCTGGCTGGGAGGAGTTCAGAGCCTCCAGGACCCCAGTGTCTAGCCAGGATGCACCTCCAGAGTGTGGTACCAGGCCCTTGCAGTTGATTGGGAGGAGTTTAGAGCATCTGGACCACACTGCTAGCCGGGACACACCTCCAGAGTATGGCCCTGGGGCCTTGATCCTGGCCTGGCCATCAAGAATTGCTTTTTACCAAGTAAGAGAAAGGCCTTCTATTCCAATTTTCTGTAGGGATTTTTTTTTACATTTATCAACTAGCATATGTTGAACCATCCCTGCATCACTGGGATGAATTCCACTTGCTCATGATGTACAATCTCCTTGATGATTTGTTGTGTTCTGTTTGCCAGTATCTCCTTGACCATTTTTGTATCTATATTCATTAAGGAAATTGGCCTGTGCTTCTCTTTTCAATTGGATCCTTCTCTACCTTTGGTATCAGGGTAATAATTGCTTTAAGGAATGACTTTGGAAGTATTGCTTCCTTTTCAAATCATTAAAGAGTTTGAGATGTGATGCCATTAGTTCTTTTCTAAAGTTCTTGCAGAATTGAGTAGTGAATCCATTAGAACCTGAGCTTTTCTTTTTTGGTAGTTTTTAAATTACTTCTTTAATTTTATTGACTGGTATTGGGTTATTTAGAATTTTTATATCTTCTTGATTCAGCTTTGGTGATTCATATGTGTATATGAATTTGTGCTTCTTTCTTTCTTTCTTTCTTTCTTTCTTTTTTTCTTTTAGGTCTTTTTGAGACAGGGTGTCACTATGCAGTTCCGGTTGGCCTTGAGCTCATTTTGTAGTCCAGGCTGGTTTTGAATTTGCAGTGATCCTCCTGCCTTAGCCTCCCCAGTGCTGGGATTACAGGCATGTGCCACCATGGCCAGCTTCTGCATTTTCCTTCTTATTGGAGTACAAGTTCTCAAAGCAGGTATTGTGATCTTCTGGATTCTGAAATATCTGTGGTGATTTCACCCTCTTCATGCCTAATTGAATGGATTTGAGTGTTTTCTTTCCTTTCTTTGGATAAGGTTGGCTAAACATTTGCCTATTTTACTTACTCTTTCAGGGAATCAACTGTTTAATTCATTGAGTCTTTGTATTGTTTTCTTAGTCTCAGTGCATTAATTCCTACTGTGATCTTTATAATTTCCTCCCCTGTATGCACTTTAGACTTGACTTACCCTTCTTCTAGAAGCTTGAGTTTCAACTTTAGGTTGTTTATTTAAGCTTGCTCGGTTTTACTAATGTGGGTATTCACTGCCATGAATTTACCTTGTAGGGCTGCTTTTATTGCATCCTGTAAGTTCTAGTATCTTTCTAGTATCTGGTATCACCATTATTATTTAATTGTAGAAACTGTCTGATTTCTTCTTCTTCTTCTTCTTCTTCTTCTTCTTCTTCTTCTTCTTCTTCTTCTTCTTCTTCTTCTTCTTCTTTTTCTTCTTCTTGTTTTTTTGAGTTTTTGGAGTTTTTTTTTTTTTTTTTTTGGCTTTTTGAGACAGGGTCTAATATGCAGTTCAGGCTGGCCTTGGGCTCACCCTTATAGCCCAAATTTGTCTCAAACTTGCAACAATCCTCCTACCTCAGCCCACTGAGCGCTGGGGTTACAAGAGTACACCACCACACCCAGCTCTAATTTCTTCTTTATTTCATATGTGACCCATTCATTGTTCAGGAAGGTGTTATATAATTTCCATCTGTTTATGAAGTTCTTGTGGTCTCTTTTGCCATTGATTTCCAATTTCATTTGTACTGTGGTTTTATTATATGCATAGGATAAGTTCAGTTCCTTTGCATTTATTTAACCATGTTCAGTGAGATATTTTGTGGTCTGTTTTGGAGAAAGTCCTTCATGTTTCTGAGAAGAATGCACGTTCTGTTATTGGGTGGAACACTGATGATATCTCCTAAGTACATTTGTTCAAAGCTTTGGTTCAACAGTTAATTCTTAACTATTACTTTTAATTTTTTTGCTGATTTCTATATCATTTTAACTTTTAAATGAACAATTTTAAAATATATGTTTATTTTATAGCCTTATTCAGATAACAAAGAAGAAATTACTTTGTGTAATCACCATGGATAGCACAAAAGAGACAAGTAACACTTACAAAGAAGATCTTCTGCTTAGGATGGGACTTAATGATAATAAAGCAGGAATGGAGGGATTAGATAAAGAGAAAATTAACAAAATTATAATGGGAGCTACAAAGGTATGTTCCTTGTTTTTTTCAAAGTATGTAATTTAGTTACTTTTAAACATTCTACTTAAAAAGAAAATCATTAAGCTTTAAAAATCATTTTTACTAAAACTTTTATGTATAATAGTACGAAACTATGAAAAAGTGGAGCAGTCTCTCTTCTAGTTTTTGCCCTTGTTATCCCATGCTCTACTTCACATATACATAATACATATATAAAAGCAAACTCATGTCCATGTCCTTTTTTGCTCTTTTTTAAAACTCCTGCAGAACTTTATTTTTGCTGTGCTGAGGACAGAATCTGAGAGCTTGCACACATTCCAAGAGGAATGACATAATGTGTCCACATAGAAATGTGTACATGAATGTTTATAGTACTACTTTTTTTCATAATAGCTAAAAAGTAAAAATAACCTAATGTGTATAAATGAATATATAGATAGACATTTTCTTCAGTAATAAAATTATAAGTAATTTAAAAAGTATCTTAGGCAAGATTAGGTGGTGCACGCCTGTAATCCCAGCCTTGGGAGGCTGAGACAGGAGGATTGCTGTGACTTCGAGACCAGCCTGGGCACAAAGTGAGTTCAGGGCCAGCCTGAACTACATAGTGAGACCCTGTCTCAAAAAGACAAAAAAAAAAGTGTCTTGTACAGTTTTCTTAATGATTAAATATAAAATGTTTGAAAATACTTTTGGGAGCGGTTGCTGAGAATTGGACTTTTGCACTGAGCTACATCTCTAGCTCTCTTTGTGCTTTCTTTTTTGTATTGAGATGGGTCTTGTTAAGTAACTAAATTACTCAGGCTAGGCTTGAACTTAACAATCCTCCTGCCTTAACTTCCAAGTGTCCTACAATTACAGGCATGTACACGAGTTTGAAGCTGCTTTGTTAAGAAGTAAGCTTTAGTGGAAGAGATAACTGATGACTCATCCTGCTAACACCCTGCCTGTGCACTAAGGATCCTACCTAGAACAGACTGTTCTTTTCTGAGTGCAGATTGGTACTCAGAGAGCCCTGCTTAGCACTATTTCACAATTCTATGACTTAGGTAACTATTAGGAAACACATTCTACAGATAAAGAAAGTGTCCATAGAAACAGTAAGAATTTTTGTGTTCCCTGCTGATAAGTAGCAAAGCTAAGGTTTGAGTTTAGTCAGTCTGATTCCAGAATCTATCTGTTTAGCCACCAGGTTATATTACAAATGATTGTTTCTTCATTTTTCCTATGCTTTGTTTTCTCCTTAGGGGTCCAGATTTTATGGAAATGAACTCAAGAAGGAAAAACAAGTCAATCAACGAATTGAAAATATGATGCAACAAAAAGCACGAATTACCAGCCAGCAGCTAAGGGAAGCACAATTGCAGGTATTAATTCAGTTGTTAGAGAGGAAAGTGGTAGTGTGGTAATTGACAGCTAAAATGCATTATCAAGTCATAACTACAAACAAGATAAAATGTAAATGTGCATTGTGTTTTAAAGCTTACACACTAGCAAATGTACATACTTTAGTATTAATCTGCTCATTTACACAGATTCTACAACTAGGCATTATTGCCTGCATTTTAGAGAAAGATAAATGGAGTGTTTTGTTTTGTTTTTGTTTTTGTTTGTCTTGAGACAGGGCCTCACTGTGTAATTTAGGATGACCTTGAAGTCACTATGTGGCCCAGGTTGACCTTGAACGTAGGGTGAACCTCCTGTCTCAGCCTCCTGAATGAATGGAATTTTAATTAAGTAATTTTCCCAGCATCATAGAAGAAGTATTTGACAGAGCTAAGATTCACCCCAAAGTATATATTCATTCATATATGTGTGTGTATATATAGAGAAAGAGAAAGAAAGAGAGAGAGAGTACACCAAAAGAATGTATACACATTTTAGGAAAAGAAAAACTTGTACAGATATTTTAATACTAAACTTTTTGAGACATCATGACATTAATACAAGTTACTTTTGCCTCTACAATTACAATAAGTGCTCAGAGTGGTAGCCATTAGCTTGCAGACACTTATTAGTACAGCAAACTGCTGCTTGATCACTTACCTGGCTGTAGAAGCATTTTCAGTTTCTTCTCCAAGGACCAGAAGTGCAGTGGATTTTCTGCAATATACAACATACTCTAGGGTCCCCCATACAAGGGTAACACCATCTATTGAAAAAGCATCATACTATTCTTCTTTTCCTGCAGTGTGTGGGTGTATATACATGTTTTTGACTGTCTCTCTCTTCATATATATTGTAATGAGATATGTATAAAATCTTGCAGCTAGAAAATTCCATGGGGTAACTGTGGAATAATTTCTATAATACCAATTTTACCAAAAAAAAAATTTGAGGTAACATGTTAATTGACTCAATTGGAAAGTAGTGTAAAACAAACATATTAGAGTAAAGCAAAAAATTGCTTTATAAATTAGAATGCCACATGTACATAAATTTTTAAAATAAAATATGAGATTTCTAAAAATTGTATTCTCCAGAATTTGAGTTTTATAAATAACTCAGATTTCCTGCTACAAGTTATTTCAGTAGAAAAGATACAGGGCACAATGAGGTAAACTGATTGTCCAAGGCAGTCCATTCCTGCTAGTTAGTAAAGCTAAAGCCATGCCGCATAGGTTTACTCTCTGTTCATATCTGATGCAGTGTCAACAAAGCACTGAACTGTAGCATAAAATAAAATGATGGTATGAAGTTAATGTGCTTCAAGATCCTTCTCTGGTGACAGAGTTCAGACAATATAGATTTTGTCTTCTTTACCAAACCTATTGTCGTTTTTTAATATATGCTTTCCTAAAGCACAAGATACTTTTTAAGAGATCTGCTGTTGTTGCTGAAGATGTCCCACATTTTCAATGTTTCATAACATCCCACTGTATGGAGGCACCATAATTTTATGTCCCTTACTCTGCCTTGGTTCTAGCTGTTTGGTGTTTTGGTGATCATTCTTACTTATCTATCTTTGTACCCTAGTGCAGTTAATTTCACCACAGATAATACTATCTCATATTATCAACATATAAGGATCAGTTTCCTCACATAGTTTTTTAAAGCTGGAGTTTATTAATTTTATCAATCTTTTGTTTTTGCTTTTCAGTATCCAAAACATTGTCTCCTGAATGTTTTCATTTACCTTCCTTTTATTCTGAAGGTGAAACAACATCTTTTCACATTTTAGTTATTATTATTTCTATATTTTGGGAAGGTGTTCTTTATTGTTTGTTAGTATATAGGTCCAGTAGCTGGCACAAGAAATTCAAAAATCTACTTTAAATAACATAAAAGTTGCTTTCTCATGTAATAGCCTAGTAGTTCCAGCTTGTGGGTTGACTAATTTCTATAGTGATGGGGAGACTTTGATTCTGTAAATTATGTTGTTCTGTCCTGCCTTGGTGTCATCCTTGCTTCAACTGACATAGCTGGGTTATCTTCTAGCTACATTCCATCTCTTCTATGAGAGAGAGTGAAAGAAAAATGTCAAAAATAAGTAATTTGCCATTAAACAAATGAAAAAAAAATTGCACATATTACATAAGCTTACATCCTTTCGGCAGTGACTTAAGTTACAAGAACCATACATAACTGTCAGAGAAGCTGTAAAGTATATATTCAGTAGCTATGGCATGTGTCCAGCTAAAAATCTGTTCCCGTGTAAGGAAGAAAGAATAGATTTGGAGATTTAATTAGCAGCCTAAAGCATTATATTTGCCCATATTTCTAGAGGAATTCATGTTTCTCTTAATTTATAGGATCTTATCATATATATTAAGTATGTTTTTGCCCATTGATATAAATATGTTTCCAATACATTATCTGTCTTTTAGTTTTGCAGGGGTTTTTTCCTATACAATTTCAAATGTTTATGTAATCAAATCTAATGATATATATATATATATATATATATATATATATTTTTTTTTTTTTTTATCGGTACCGGGGATCGAACTCACGACCGCCTGCTTGCAAGGCAGGTGCTTATGCCGCTGAGCTAAATCCCCAGTCCCAAATCCAATGGTATTTTGTTAAGATTTTATTTTTAGAGACTTTTAGACTATGAGCCTAAAGAATTCCCATTTTCCCTGCCTTAAAATTTCTTTTTTATTCATCTAACCTGTATTCATCTTTTTTATTCTACTAACCTGTAGCAACTACTGATCTTTTTGCTGTCTCTAAAGTTGCGTCCCTGACAGAATGCAAAATAGTTGGAGTCATACAGTGTATATCCTTTCCAGATTAGCTTATTTCACTTAACAATATGCAATTAAGATTATTCTATGTCTTTATGATTTGATGGCTCATGCCTTTAATGTGCTGAATAGTATTCATTACCTGATAGTACTATTATTTATTTATCCATTCACCTTCTGTCTTAGCTACTTTCTCGTTGCTGAGACAAAATATGCAATGCCAAAAGTTAAAGGAGGAAAGATTTTTTTTAGCTCACAGTGAGTAGAGGTTTCAGTTGATAAGCAGAGAAGCTTCAAAGCAGGGTGGCACATGGCAGAGGAGCAACAATTCATGGCAGCGGAAGACAGGAAAAGTGAACAAGCAACCTTAACAGCATCTTTCTGGCCCTTTTGTACTCTGTCTAGGCTGCTGTGATAGGGCAGTGCCAAACCAATCAGTGAGCTGATCACATACCCCTAATCCCAGTATCACATACTCTAGATTCAGCCATCTCTGAAAAAACCCTATGATTGCATGAGGCTTTGAGGGTACATCTAGATACAGACCATAACACTCACTGAGAAACATCTAGATTGCTTCTAAGTTTGGCAAGTTCTGAATAACCTGTGATAAACATCTGTGTGCAAGTTACACATAGGCATAAGTTTTCGGCTCCATTGGTTTTTAACTAAGGAGTGTAATCATTGGCTCACATGGTAAGGTTATGTTTAGTTTATAAGAAACTGCCAAACTGTTTCCCAAAATAAGTATCTCATTTTGCATTTCAATCAGCAGTAAATGAGAATTCCCATCATTAATGTGTCTTGCTAGCATTTGGTGTTGCTGGATTTTGACTACTCGTTAGTTACACAGGATAGTGGTATCTTCTTTATATTTGCATTTTCCTGATGGCATATGACTTTCAGCAATATTTCATATTCTTACCTGCTACCTGTACATCTTCTTCACTAAGACATCTGTAAGGTCTTTGGCCCCTCCTTTTTTTAATAAATGAGACAGGATCTCACTAGATAACTCTGGCTGGCCTTAAACTCACAATGTACCCCAAGCTGGCCTTAAACTCAAGATCCTTCTGCTTCAGCCCTCTGAGTGATGGATTACAGATATGTACCACAACACTAAGTTATGGCCCATTTTTTAATCAGATTGTTTTCCCAATTTGAACTTTAAGGATTCTTTGTATATTTTGGGTAATAGTCCTATCCCAGTTATATCTTTTTAAAATATTTTCTCCCAGTTTGTAGCTTGTCTATTCTCTTGATAGTGTCTTTCTTAACTGGTATTAAACTTTTCCTAAAATAAATTCTCATGGTACTTTGATTTGTTTCTGGACCCTCTCTTGTTAACTGATTTTTTTCTTATATCTGTACCATATAATTTTTTTAACTTCTCTTATTTTAAAGATGATAAAACAGAATAAAATCAATCAAAACAAACCAGTGTAAAAGATACAGGACTTCAAAACATTACAAAATCAACAATAGTTACCGAAATGCCTTTTGATGTCTTCAAAATAGCTGTAGATAACTTTGGACACAGTAAAAATCAAACAGAACAGAATAGAGTAGAAACAATAAAAACAAAACAATGAATGCAATAAATGTCTTCAAAACAGGCCTATAGTAAATCCAAAATTGCTACCCTAATATATCTTGCTATCTTTGAAATAGCTGCTCCTGCCACTAAATTTGATATAATCGAACAAAACAAAAAATAAAATTCAACCAACAAAACAATGGAAGCCATATAGGACTTCCAAAACAAGACCATAGGGAATAAACAATGGTTGAAAACCTCAGAAGGAGATCCCTTTAGATGCCACACTGTGTACCGCTATCCTCTGAACCTATGATCAGACCACTGGCCCTGCAGTGTTAGTGGAACACCAAAGTACCACAGATATCCAATTACATTTCACCTTCATAACTATCATCTCAGCCTGTGTGTCTCTGGATAAACCTGTTGCTTACGGCAGGAAGAGGGACAGGGATTAGTACTTTTTGTTTACCACCCTGCATGCCAGAAGGTACTGGGATCTGTCTGTTCCACTCTGGTGGTGGCCTGCACATGGCGCTGGTTCCCCAACTGGGCTTGCTTGCTGATGTGGCTTGTTCTCTCTATCCCTGGTCTGTGAATGGCCTGTACCATATAATTTTAGTTACTAAAAAATAAAAGGATGATTTAGTACTCTCCCTCATAAATCTTCTTTGAAGTTTTTTAGTTTTCCTCTTGCATTGTTTCTTTCAAAAACATATAAATATCATTTTCATCAAGTTTTTTAAAAATTTTAAGCAATACTGTTTTAAAATTGATCTTAAAATTAAAAAATAAAATCGACCTTATTCCTTAAGCAATTTACTTTCTAGACATTCAGTTAAGTTTGATTAATCTATAATTTACAAATATCTTCAATAAAGGTTTTAAAGAAACAAAGGTCCCTCTGAGTGATGATGTCTAACAACGTTTGTGCTGTTCATGCTCTTCAAAGCTTATCCTTTTATATTCCTAAAATCTGGAGTGCAAATGCCTTCTATTGCATAGCAGAACTTGAAATTTTGTTCTAAATTTAGTCAAATATTTCACAGAATACTCTCTGACATCTTTTGGAACAGGAGTGGCAGGAAATATGTTTTACATTGATTGTTGAATTGTTTCATTTGTGGAATTTCCTATAAAAGAACTCATATAAACGGGAGGCGGTTGAGGAAGTCCTAAGTAGTCAGAGGTCTGAAAGATCAAAGATGTTTTCTTGGGAAATGTGTTTGTATTTTAGCATCATAAAAGTTCCAAGCACTCACTTCTCTTACATGTGGTAGGACAGTGTGTACTATTCTGACCAGGCTGAAGCTGAGCTAAGGAACCTCTCAAACATGAGCACACTCTTTTGGTTTGAACTTACCTTGGTGCAGACCCTCTCTAAGGACTTTCTACTCTACCTCATTCTCATTAAACCTCCTGCAAGACATAATCATTGTTATAACTGCTAATGTAGTTCCTAAATTGAATAAACAAACATCTGTGTTTCATTAAAAGGCAACTATGCAAATCCATACATTTTGACTACTTTTAACAGTTGATTTTATTAACTCAGATTTGTTCTGTAGTCTTTAAAGAAATTCTAAATCAAGAATTTTTAAAATAAACAAGTCAAGGATTTTTAGAGCAAATAAGCCATAATGTAAATACAAAATATACCATTAAATTCTGGTTTGAACTTATTTCAGTGTTAAAACTTATAAAAATCTATTTTAGGGAAATATCATAAGGTAACAGAAAGAACATAAGCTTTGGAGTAACCTTACAAGTCTAACAACACTATTTACCAGCTGTACAACAACCTTGCAAGTCTAACAACACTATTTACCAGCTGTACAACTCAGAGCAAACTATTTAATCTTACTGAGTTTTTGTTTCCTCATCTATAAAACAGAAATAATAATTAGACTCTCAGGGTTATTTTGAGATTAATCTCAATTATTTTGAGTTAAAGGAAACAATGCATTGCATGATACATATACTCAATAAATGTCATTTATTTTAAAATTAGAGGTACTGTCTTTAAGCTCTTACTGTATAACTAGATAAGAGTATTATGAGTATCACTTTTAATTTTTTCAGAAATCTTTTTGTTATTGTTGTTTTTGGTACTGGGGATCAAACTTGTGACCTTGTGCTTGCCAGGCAAGTATTTGTGCCTGCTGAGCTAAACTGCTAGCCCCTCAAAAATCTTTTGAGGTTAGTTTAGTTCCACTTTACAAATAAGGACAGTAATAGTGAGAGGAGAAATTGCTGTTAGGTAGTTAATGCATGCTAGGACCCAAACCAAAGTCCTTTTTTTTAAATCCCTGTGACACACACTGGTTCTCAGTAATAGTAAGAGGAGCCAGATCCGTGTTACCAATTATGATCAGAGCTTGAAAGTCATGAGGAGGGAAAACAAAAGAAAAAAATCGTGAATGAGGACTTCTGTAAAAGGAACTTAAAATACGATGGTTTTGCGGATCTCGTAGGTGTAGAAAAAAAGCAGTCAGAGGAGGGTGACTAGTGACAGGAAGTGAAGTGGAATGTATGAGTCATACAGTGGCGAGGTTTCCTTTGGCAACTGCACAACTCGCCTTAAACATTAGAAAGAGAATAGATTGCTGACAAGCACTGACACATAAATCTGAGAAGAAATTTTGCTGTTTATTATCTTCTTTTCTAGATGATTCCAGGTCAAAATATTTTATTTCTTATTCAACTCATGTCTCAGGCACAAATTTATGTTCTGGATTAGCATAAATCAGCTTTTAGTCAACCCGTGTTTTTACTTGTCTCCATGGTTTGTTTTATCTAGTCAGGATGCTATTCTCTAATTCAAAATTAAAGTACTAAAAGAAAGAGTTGGAAATCAGCATAATAAATTAGAGTAAACTTGAAAGCTCCACTTATTAGGTACAGTACCTCACTGCAAGAAGTTGGCCTTCTCCAAAACTTTTCTAGTATTGCTTTATATTGTAGCGAAAGATTTAAAGGCAAATTTCTCTTCTGAAGGAAGCCACACTTTAAGGTTAGTGTACCGAGTACAGGAATGTCAGTTGTAAGAGCAGGAAAACAAGGGCATATTAATTCTGTGGCATCAAAGGCAGGAATCCAGCTAGAGAGGCGTGATCTGCCCCAGAAGGAGTGTGACCATGCTGGGGAAGCCCAGGGAAGGTACGCACCCCTCAGGGCACAGGGTCAGTTACAGGCTAGAGGAGCAGCCCTCTGGAGAGCCTCATCGCAGCTGCTGCAGACAAATGCAGTTCACTGTGTTTGCTTCTAAAAGAGGATTTACAGTTTTCACCTATAGCTAGTGGGTGGCTACTGTCACAGAATGCTAGGCAGGAAGGCTATTGAAAAAAGAATTCTGCAGAGCAGAGGCAAGGCTGAAGTTCAGCATGCAGAGAAAGCTGCATTACACCTTCAAGGTCTCCACCTTTGAGGGAACTTGCCATCAGGATTTCTGTGGGATGGAGATTGCTTTCTCTCCGGAGTCTACTTTACTTGCTTATTTTGGCTGTTCTTCCCCAGGTGTCTGATTGCTTTGTTCTGCAGCTACCCACTGAACCTTTTAATGCACTGAATTTATCGAACTTGTACAGTGTGCCAAGCACTGTTCCATGCTCTTTATGTGTTCTAGCTCTTTTAATAGCTTCCTTCTTTTAAGATTTTACTTTAATGGTCTCAATAACTTCCTTATACATCGTGGTGACCAAAGCTGTCCACAACAGGGTAACCAGGAAAGTAAGAATTTAGCATCGGTAGAAGCTGGTTACAAAGAGCAGTGGTCACAAATTAGTACATCTGGTCCTTAAACTTCCCTTACTTGCCTAATTTGGTCATTTCTACCTACTTTCATTTCTCTTCTCTTCCTTGCTTGCTTGCTTTTCTTTCTTTCTTTTTCTGAGAATTTAACATAAGTCCTTTACATCCCTAGCTCCTTTCTTAAAAAAATTTTTTCATTGTAAGACAGGCTCTTTCTAGGCTGTCCAAACAAGATGTGCAATCCTCCTGCCCCTGCCTCCCAGAGTGCTGATATTTCAGGCATGTGCTGCCATATCTGACTAAAAATTCTTTAAAACTTAATATTCATCATGGTTATATTTGATATACTTATTGAAATCAAGAAGGATAAATTATAGCTTTAAGTTTTCAATTTTTATCTGTGTACACTACCATTTACCAACTTTTAGCAGTATAAAATCAGTTTCACAGAGGAAGTATTTATACTTCAGCATGTTTGGTTGTACATTACTATTCAGTGTAACACCATATGCTACAGACATATAATCTTTTTTTTTTTGCACATTTCCTTTGCTGCTATTTTAAGACTTTAACATTATGAGTCAAATGGGAGTTATTTTATTTAAATTGAAACTGTTAGGTACAGTCAGTTCCCCAAATTTAAAAGCAGTGGAATCATTTGATATAGGCAATTGAAATCATTCATTTGTTCAATAAGTAATTAAGTTCTATTACATGCCTGGGAGCATAGGTAGAAGGGTTGTTAGGGAATGATACCTGAGAACAGTATGTGTATTTGTGAAAATAAAAACAATTACCATCCTTAATAAACAACAATATATTTTATACCCACAAACACCATCGAACACCAAAATATGCATCCATAAGTAGCTAGATGCATGGACAGACAAACGGGTACTTGCCGAATTAAACTTCAGTTATAATGTTACAATTATTGATGTTTAAATATTATGTTATCTAAAAAATTTAACTTTTAAAATGAAGGTTGACAGATTTGCAATGGAATTGGAACACTGCCGGGATTTGAGCAATACCATAGTACATGTTGACATGGACGCTTTCTATGCTGCTGTAGAAATGAGGGACAACCCAGAATTGAAGGATAAACCCATTGCTGTAGGATCAATGAGTATGTTGGTAAGTAGGTAAAGATCAAGAACAAGAAGGCCATTTTGTAACATATTCAAGTAAGCCTGCTGGTTCATAAAGGAAGAGACTTTATTGAGGTTTACCAGTGTGCTGAGTGCTTTTCTGGGTACCTTACATATCCTCAGTTACTGAATCCTTTTAACATACCTTCAGGTACTAGTTTTTAATTCTGTCTAACAGAAAAGAAAACAAATACAGGGAGACCATTAATAACTTGCCCAGAGCTATAAAACTGGTAAAATGGTAGAATGATGCTATAGCTTTCCATTGCAAATTAAATTTTTCTTGAGCGTCCTAGTTAAGAGAGTTGGAGAAAGAAAGGAAAATGTTATTCTGAAGTAGAGATTTTCAAACTATAGCCTGGATGCCTTGTCCAACCTGCTATTCTTTTTGTAAGTAAATTTTATTGAAACAAAGACACAGCCATTTATTTATTGTGCTAAATTATTGTACCATTGTTGCACCAAACAAGCAGAATTGAGTAACTGCAAAAACACTATGATCTCATACTAAGATTATTTGCTGTCTGGACTTTTGTAGAAAAAGCTTGCCAAGCCTAATATTAGATTGCTGTATTTTATTAATGTAGAACATTCAGTGCAATTAAATAATTTTTCCCATAACTCAATCTTTGCTTTTCTGATTGCTGTGTATACACACTTTTTGTTGCTCTAACCATAGAAGGTAAACAAGATGAAGGTAGCTGTATGTGACTGAAAATCTGTTGGGAATTAAAAGTAAAAACTGGAATAAGTAAGTTTTAGTCCTAAAAAAAACTAGAGAATTCTTTCCTATTGCTGGCTGACTCCTACAAGTGCCTTAGATAGCTATAAACCTAATCCTTAGTGAGTTGTTTTTTATTATAAAGCTATAATCCAATTGTTCCTTATCTCTGTTCCCATGAATATTCAGACAACGGATGAGTCTAGTTCTAAAACAATGTCCATTGAAAGGATACTCACTCCCCTTTCCTATAAGTCACCAACAAATATTTGGAAAGAGATATTTAATTTTATAAAGAACGTATAATAGTCTATTATGTGTACCTATTTATATATATATTTGTATACATATGCACATACTGTGGTCATGCTAGAACTAAACCATTGTTCAAATTTGCAAAGTATTTTCTTTCTGATTATTTCTACCCTCCTTAAAATTAGTTTGTTTCCAAATTCAAAATTATTATTTGCTGTTTTTAAGCAAAGGTTATTCTTTTGATATACTGAACTAATAAGAGACTTGCTTTCTAAAGAGAATTGAAGTATAGCTATTTTTATATAGTAAATCATGAAAGTATGTATGAATTCATGGAAGTAATGACATGTTTGATTAATTAAATCTGTTATGCATAAAATTCTTTTTTGGTAAATTTGGTGAGTTTTTTTAAATGGTTTGAGTTGACACCAAAACCAGGCACTTAGATCTGACAGCAGTTTTGGTTACAGTAGAAGGAAGCTTTCAGTAGGTAGTAATCATGTTCTTTCTCATGATTCTGTCATCTAAGCAGAGTTTTGTGGGGATAGCTCAGCTTTACCCTACCTGGTCTGTAGATCAGAGGCCAGCCTGGGCAACTTGGTAAAACTCAGAAGGGGCCAGGGAGGTGGTGCAGTGGACAGGACTGGAGAGTGAGCTCCTAGGTTCAATCTCAGTGCTAGGAAAAAACAAAAAGCAAACAGAAAACTAACTGTAAAAATATTCTGGCTGTGATTTGTTGTCTACTACAACTCAAAAATTAGAGGACATCGGACACAAAGTTTTTTCTACTCTACTATAGATCTAGCTTTCATATTAATTCCATTAAATTTGTTTATATTTATTTAAAGCATTGGTTTGTTTTTCTAGTGATATCTGCATTTTTCCTTCTAGAATGCTGACCAAGAATTAGCTTTGAGTACTATCAAGATTTTTTAAATGCCTTTTGAAAATCATTAAAGGAAATTTGATATTCTGAATTAGTTTCTTCTCTGGATAGATTCTGTTTTGTAGTTCTTTGAATTTCAAATAAGAATTTTTTTAATTTTAGAGACTAAACTCAGGCCTTTGCACTGACCTACAGCCCCAGCTTTTTTTTTTTTTTTTTTAAATTATGAGAGAGGTTCTGGCTAAGTCACTAAGTTGTCCAGGCTGGGTTTGAACTTGGGATCCTCCTATATCAGCCATCCAGAGTGCTGAGATTACAGACATGTGCTGCCATAACTAATTTATGATAAAACTTTAAAATAAATGGTACTGTGACATTGACATAGACTATTGTCAAGTATCAGCAGAAACATGATTTAGCAAGTAATATTCATTTTAATTCTCATTTATTCCTATCTCCTAGTCAAAAAACATTGAAATCTTAAATAAAACATAAAATTTGAAGTTCTATTTAAGCTTTTAGTCACATTTTTTTAGAGACTTGGTTTAGCCAGATATTAGACCTTTAACTTTCTGTTCAAGATAGATATTTTTTCTTTTTTTTTTTTTTTTTTTTTTTCATTTTTATCGGTACCGGGGATCGAACTCACGACCGCCTGCTTGCAAGGCAGGTACTTATGCCGCTGAGCTAAATTCCCAGCCCCATCAAGATAGATATTTTTTCAAAATTCCAAATAGGGAAAATTCTAAAAATATACTTCATATTAAGCATCCCTTGTTTCTAAGGATACTTAACTTATAATTTTCTAAACAATTACTTTTGTTAACAGTTGTAATCTTGGTACTATCCTATTACTTTATAACTATTCTATACTACTCACTATACTTTTACTTTGATATAGCATCATCTGCTATTGTCTAGACTTTGATATATACTCTAATTATGCCTTAAACACAGTCAAGTATAGCACTGGGAATATGAGAATGTTTTTGTCAGCACAGTCTTACTTCTCAGATGGTATCACCTTGTAAGTACAAGGAGGAAGGGCAGTGAGTGTAGTATCATAAAGTCAAAAGTGGTTCGAGACAGCAGTCCGTAAAAGCAATGCCCCCGAATGAAAATGCACATCAGTAACGTGTTTCTTGTGAATCTGTTGATCTGTGTGTCCACTTAAGTTTGCCTATTTTTCCCATGTGGTCAATTCTTTTTCAGTCTACTTCAAATTACCATGCAAGGAGGTTTGGTGTTCGTGCAGCCATGCCAGGATTTATTGCTAAACGACTCTGCCCACATCTCATTATCGTGCCCCTAAACTTTGACAAGTACAGAGTTGTGAGTAAACAGGTAGGTATATGTCTCGCCCCTACCTCTATCTGCTCATGGGTTTCCTGTCGCATCCGGAGTCAGCTACAAATGCCGCGGCACAGCGGGATTTGGCCTCCGCTTATCCTTCTGGCCGCAGCTTCAGCTATTTCTTCAGCATCTTTAATCAGTCCTGGGCTGTTCACAAGCCCTGGAGCATACATTCTGTTTTCCAAGAAACGGAAATACTTTCCAAGTATTTTTCATCTGCTTAGAAAAGTCATCTCGCAAAACTTTGGAAAGCTCTCACTGTAACATAAAATGAACTGTAGCTATTCTTTCTTAGTGTAAAATGCAAGTTTTCTAGAACTTCTTTGTATTTGTAATTTGAAGAGTCTGTTTGTCATTGGTTTCAGTGTCATGTGAGTGGACTGTTTATCAGTGTTTTTACATGATGACGAAAATCATTTATTTTGATTATCTGCTTCTTTTTCCCTCCTTTCTTGTGAAGATGATGAGCAATGAGTATCTAAGAAAGTTGTAATCAAAGAGGAAAAGGAGGAACCCATTGTTTTGAAAAGGAACTCTGAAATATAAAGATATGAATGATTATTTATTAAAATCCCAAACTTTCTCATGTGAAAAACTGCCATTTGCTCTATTTTTGATGGCAACAGGCCTGTCATGCAGTGCTGGGGTTTAATTCCTGAGTTAAAACTTGAGGACAGTTTATCTACATCACTTTTGACTATCCTCATAAAATGCTGTGTGTTAGAAAGTGCTGTGCGTGGTCCATGCGTGTAATCTCAGTTACTGGAGAGGCTAAGGCAGGAGACTACAAGTTTGAATTCATGCTGGGCAACTTTAAATTAATAAGACCTGGTCTCAAAAAGGACAGAGGATGTTGCCCAATGGTAGAGCAACCCTGGTTTCAAAGAGCAAAGCAAAGCTATCTGAATAAAAACGTGTAAAATTATGGGGTGCTGCCTATTGTCATTTAGGCATGTGCACGATCTTCACACTCGCTGCTTTCTTTTATTCTGCCTCATTTCCCCTAGAAACGATGCCTAGTCCCAAATGCTAAAATTGTTACCTTTATAATTTAAAAAGCAATCTATTTAAAACAAGTGCTTTGGGCCTACTTCTAAAAGGCTGGTGGGAAAGGAGAAAACATACATTTGCACACTATTGATTGTTTTTATTATAATCCTCATTAGAGATAAAATGCCAAACATGAAACATGAACTTTTAATAAGTAAAAAAATTGTACAAAAGCCAAGCATGGTGACAGACACCTATAATCTGAGTACTGTGGGAAGTGCGGCAGGAGGATTAAAAGTTCAAGCCCAGCCTGGGCAATTTAACCATGTGGTGCTACTCTGTCTCAAAATAAGAAATAAACATAAGTAGGGAAAAAAAAATCATCAAATTTCAGCAATCTCTAGGTAATTAATTTGAATATAACAAATTACTATGTGTAAATTAACATGGGTACATTAATATTTCTAGCTTAGTTAGAAAACTTGAAGATTCATTTTTTGTTTTGTCCTAAATATTAAAATGTTTTCACTGTTCCTGGAGCTTTCTGGGCTTGATGTTCACTGGACTGTGTCTCTCTGAGTTTCTCTAGCAGTGTCCTCTGGACAGGAATTTGGAAGGGCTGTGTCCAACAGCGTCTCTAGGGAGGAGCGCTTCTCATTCAGAATCTTAGTGGCTGCCAGCTGCAGACTCTGAGTTTCCATCTTCACTAGAAAGATTCTGAGTACATGTGAAAGTTGTTTCTCCTACAAGAACACAGCTATTTAAGGCACTCACTGAGTCAAACGGTGCCAAATTCTGTATCACCATTTTCCAATTTCCCCTTGACTCAGCTGTTCATAATTATATTGAGGTAAAATACTTCCCTTTCTGAAATAAAGTTTTCTCCTGTTAGAGTAGACAGTTTGTGTGTGTGTTGGGGGAGGGGGTTGAAATCAGGGCCTTCTACGTAATAGGCAGGCACTCTATGACCGAGCTAAATCCCCAGCCCAATAGACAGCCTTTAAGTGCTAGACAAAGTATAATGTCTTATAATATATATATATATAATTTTGGCAACCATTCCTTCTAATTACTGCTAATACCTTGGTGGCACAAAAAACAAACAGTTACCACTGTTCAAGCCATCAGAATTTAATGTAATAAAGCTATCTTCTATAAAAGAGATTTTTAGGTTATGGAAACTGTGATTCTAATCTTTGTATGTATTTTATGCTACTGTGCTCTCTAGCCTGTCCTCTATAATTTAATGTAACTGGAATTACACTTAGATTCTGTCATCTTTTCTAATCTAGATTCCAAGAAATAGTAGAGATTCATTTTCCTTATGGATACATGCGCCAGTATATGTACTTAGTGGAGCTTTAGGGGGATAGTATAGATAATTGAAACAACTGCTTTCTAAAGCAACATGGTACTTTACATAAGCTTATTCCTTTTACTTTTTAAAGTGAACAAAACCATCATAAAAGATGGGCCAGAATAGAATCCCATCATTCCAACTTCTGCTTTTAACTACTTGAAACCTAAGCCATCTTTTTTTCCTGTGCCTAGCAGAATGGTGTTTTCTGAGATTTGAATTGCCTTCTATATCTGCATGTAGATGGCTAAACAGAGACTGCATCAAGTGATGCCAGTTCACAGTCTTCTGCCTTTGTGATCTACTTTAACACAAAAGAAAGCTTGGCAAGGGGCTGGGGATTTAGCTCAGTGGCATAAGCACCTGCCTTGCAAGCAGGCAGTCGTGAGTTCAATCCCCGGTACTGATAAAAAAGAAAAAGACAAAAAAGTGAAAGAAAGCTTGGCAAATAGGCACTGGTGGTAAATTATTCATTCCTGAAATTCATGAACTATTGATTGCAGGATCGTTACTGTATTTGCAAAATAAGAATATTACTATTTCTTACCAGCTGTATATGACAGGAAGTTTTGCTGAGGCAGCAAAATGTAACCCTTTTTTTTTTGTTGTTCCTTTTGAAGGTTAAGGACATACTTGCTGATTATGATCCCAATTTTATGGCCATGAGTCTTGATGAAGCCTACTTAAATATAACAAAGCATTTACAGGAAAGACAAGATTGGCCTGAGGAAAGAAGACGTTATTTCATCAAAACTGGAAACTCGGCAGAAAATGGTAAGCAATTTATTAGAACTATCAAAATAAAAACAATGAAACAGAAAACAACCTCTGAATTAACCACTTACCTCACTAGCATGCATAGATGTAGGACTTGATGTATCTTTATAATAATGAAAAACAGAAACTTAAAGTACTTCTAGTCAGTATTTTAACTAAATGTGTAATATTGCTTTTAAACAAGTACTATTGTTAAATCTTCAGGCTTTGAAGTCTACAAAGTCACTACACAAGGTAATATTGTGTCAGTTACTTTCTTAAAATGTAGCTTCAAATAAAGAACCTGAGAAAGTTCTTTACTTAGGGTACCTTTGCTTGTAATGTTGATAAAAGTTAGACTTTGGTGGGGTGGTGGTTACCAGGAATTGAACTTGGGACCTTGCACTTGCCAGGCAGCACTTGTGCCATTGAGCTACATCTCCAGCCCAAAAGTTAGATTTTAAAATGATTAACCTCAAATATATCCAAACATTGAGTGATTTTATTTTTCTTTGCTTGTCAAATTTTCTATAGTTTGACTGAGGCACAGCAACCATGAGTGTTCACCCTTCCAAAATTAGTGTTTCTTCCCTTTTCCTTCTTTGTCTCAGGCCCCATTATGACTCATACATAATGGTGAAACCGAAGTTTTCAAGCTGCATAGGTTTTTCTGACACTCCCTCTATTAGCTAAACAGAGCAATGCCAGGAAACGTTGCAGTTATTACATATACTGCCACCAGCCTTTCCAAAGTTATGGTTACTCCAAATGTCTGAACTGAATCAGATGATTGGATCCCTGCACACAATTCACCTGGATGCAAAGGTGACCCAGAGGGCTTTGCTCACAAGTCACAACCACATTTTGTGTGTGTAACATGGTAGCTTTGGTGGGGCCAAGTGGTGAACACAATGACATAAAATTCTAAGTCTTCTACATTATTTGGAGCAAGTTTAATCTATACATTGAATTACAACTTCATTACTTTATTTAAATCTCAAAGGGGCAGGACTTTCCCTTTTACTTTAATTGTAACACTGATGAACAATATTTCTAGACAGATGGTTGGAGCAAAATACTTCCCTTCATTGATATAGCCTTTTTGTTTGGGGATGTGACACCTGAAGCTAGTGGCACTTTGCTTAAAATCTCTCTCTGTTACTTCCTTGTTTTTCATACTGAAAGAGGGGCAGAAATCATTAAATGATTCCAACAAAGCATTCCCTGTAGGTGACAGCAGCTTCTCTCCTCTTCTTCCTCCTCCTCATCTTCTTTATCCTCCTCCTCTTCTTCTTCCTCCTCCTCCAACTCCTTGTGTACGAGGCGATTGAATCCTGGGCCTTCACACTGAGCTACATCCCCAGACCTTTTATATTTTATTTTATTTTTGAATTTTGGGACAAGGTTTTCCTAAATTCCCCAGTTCAGAATCTATTTTCAGTCTTTCTAGCTCAGCCTCCCAGTATGCTAGAATTACAGGCTTGTACCACCATGCCCAGTTTCCTGTCAACTTTTATAACAATTGCTTTTCCCTGGTTAAAAAACTGACATTGGGCTTAAGGTAAATGTTTCCATTCTGTATTGAAGTCCTTCTCACTTATTGTATATCTAAACTCAAAATGAGGTGTGACTCCTTAGTTTCTGTTGCCTTTAACATATTTATTTGTATATTGCCCATTTCATATCTTTGGTATTTCATATTTCATATTCTTAAGCAATGAAGTAGTTTAACTTTTTTCCTCACCTGTAAATCCCTGTGAGGTGCATTTTGAGGCCCAGCCAAACCACACTCACAGTGATTAAAGGTGTGATCAGTGATCAGTGTGTCTTCTTGAAAGTCAGACATTTTTGTACTGCTTGTCCCTTTTCTAAAAGGTACTCCCTTTCCAAATATATTGCTAACCACTTTATCTACTTAAAAATAAAATAATGTTACTTAATGTTTACTCTGCTGTATTCAGATGCTGAGTGCCAGACTGTGTAAAAAACTAAACTGACACACACTTTGTAGCACTTGCGTTGTGAATGAAATGCTTTGATCCTGGTATTATATTCTGATTGCTTCAGTTATGGGGATCATAAATCCGGCTCAATTCGGAAGCAAGCAAGGGGCTAGTACAGGGCCTGCCTAGCGCATCCAGGCCCTCGGTGACTTGCTCTCAGCCAGCAGTGGGAAGGGCCCTCGCTGAGCAGTGTTTAAGCCATCTGCTTGCTCTAAATTTTAAAGATGCAGTATGGAGAATGAAAAGGAACTAAAGCATGTAAGTAACCGCTAATAGAAGTTTGAAGACAAGTCTTACTGTGAATGTGGCTTAAGAATGCAGATTTGGAAGACATCTGTCTGTAACTTCATTCATGTTACACACTTTAAACTGGGGGACTAATCCAGTGTTTGTTATATTATTTGCATTATCTTCAGAAAAGTTTCCTGAAGGACTGTTCATTTTTCAGGTAGTATACCTTCATATATGTCTTGTTGCTTAATTGAAGAAACTTAATTTGAAAAATTTTTCCTTAATGTATTTTTCCATGAGAACATTTTAAGAATAAATCTAGATTTCAATGTACTTTATAGTTCATTTTTAAAAAATGCAAATAAAATGATGTAATCACAAGTATTTTTACTTGTAATAATCATAGTTTATATGCTATGTATGTTTCTTTGCCTTAAACATGTATCTTGATTGATCCAGTTAACCTTAAGACTTTGTATAAAAAAAGTTTCACAGGTAACTTCTTTTTATTAAAAATGCAATAAAAGTGATGCTTTATAAACCAGTCAAAATTAAAATCAGAGTTTGAAGTTTTTTCCATGAATGAAAAAAATTTTTTTCTATCTTAAAAAACAAAACTGATTTTTAAAAAATTTTATTTAAAATGTTATTGTTTTTTAAAATTTTATTTAAAGAAAGACTAAACAAAACAGAAAACAGGTAGAAATAATATATACTTTCAAAGAAAAAATAAAAAGTAGGAAATCACTAGTTGATGATTACAGATTGTCCTCTTACAAATAGTTATTGAGGATACAAAAGTGAAACATACAAAATGGGGATTCAAATAGCGAGACTGCAAATGGTTCTGTTCAACTATTCAACAAAAACTTAGTAATACGGTTATCAATCCTATATTCTTAAACATACATGCAGTTATTCATATCTTCATTTATGTTGAGATTAAACAAACCATAGCAGGCTAAAATCACTCTGAACAAATAATAGTATTGCTGGATTTTACATGAGGACACTACGGGATCAGCACTGGGTACTGTAGTGTCTCTTTTTCTTCAAGATAGTTCATTTCATCATGCGTTAGAAGATCAGTTCTCGTAAACTGTTTATAGGTTCTACACATGTATGAGTCTTAATATGTATTTCTATCCTTTCTATATTAGAGGGGAGAAACAAAACAGAGCAAGACATAACAAAACATATTCCTGTAAACACATGAAATGACAAAGACATATAAAACATATAACCTATAAAACAAGGAATTCTACAGTGGTTACTGTGTTGTCTCTTGCTATCATCAATAGAATTGTATATAGCATCAGACATAATATAATTGAATATAGCAGTACATAACAATATTAATAAAAACAAAAACTTTGTAGATAGTGTAAAACTTCAAAAACAGATAATAATCAAACCATAAGGGTATCATAGTGGTCCTTGTCATCTTCAGTTGTAGTTGCCTATACTCTCAGTAGTTGCCTATAGACTTGATACTATCAATCATACCAGTTTTGAATAAAATCTGTCGATACTAAACAGCAATCAAACAAACCAGATTTAACTACGATCAGTCATGATAAAACAGTGTAAGTTAAACCAGGCTCCAGATTAAGTTAATAGGAAATTAAAGATGATTACTGTACTATATCCTGTTATTTCGGGGATAGCTATCTGTGCCCTCAGATCTAGTGCAAGTAGACAAACTGGGACAGAATAAAATCTATCTAAGCAGAGCTGTGCGAGTAACGTGGGTTTTAAATTCTGATACGCTATTAACAGTATCCTCTACCATCTTTTTAAGACTATTCCTCCCCTTTTACTCCCCCAGGGTGCACAGTGCACTTTTGGGTCTCACCAACACCCTCAGTTTTTAGATTGGTGGGTGGGGGGCCAACCTGCTATTTACCCAAGTGCTTCCGAACCTTTTCCCTCCTGGACTTGATCTCTAGTTGTATTCCTTTACCTATTAAAGCCTAAAACTGATTTTTTTTAAAGGTATGATTATTTTATATTGCTTGAGCCCCTTTCTTCTCATTCCTAAATCTTAACAAGGGTCTTTTTCTTCATCAAGAAGAATAAAGGAGCAAAGATTTAACTTTTTTAAGAAAAAAACTAATGATTTCAAAATTAATGTATTACATAGGATATTTACTTTTTTAAATATACACTATGGAAAAGGGTAATATTCTTTTAAGAAAAACCTAGACAGTTTTTTTTTCTTTATTAAATTGTTATATAACATAAGTAATAGCACTTCTGATCTTGGTTCCTAATAACAAAACTAAACTCAGTTTGCTTTGTCTTTGGAAATAATGTAGGGGAAAAATAGAGAAATGAAAAGATAAATAAAGATAACTGAGGGAGACCTGACTGAAGGAGTACGTAATTCTCAAAACTGTGTTACTGTTCGTATTTGCAACTTAGATGAACCGGGAAAGGAAGTTAATAACCTGAGTGAGTATGAGCTGTCTGCCTCTCCACTCCTTTTTGAAGACAGTCCTCCTGATTTGCAGCCCCCAGGAAATCCTTCCCAAGTGAACTGCAAAGAACAAAACAAGCTTCAAATACCACAAAAATCAGTTGTTTTTGGAACCTCCGCCGAGGAAGTGGTAAAGGAAATTCGTTTCAGAATTGAACAAAAAACAACACTTACAGCTAGTGCAGGTATTTAAAAGGATTTTAATGGTCACTGTGGTTAAAATTTCCAGACTGACTAGTTGATGTGTAACGTTAGTAGCTTCTCATATAGTATCATTTTACTTACTCTTTGATTCAGCTTCTAACAACTTAACCTATTCAGAATAACTGAATATACAAGTACTTTGGCAGTAAGAAAAAAACCTCTGTGGGCCCAAAGGAATAAATCTATCATTTATGTCATGCAGTTATCACGGTTTTTCTTTAGGTTAGTTCAGTCTTGTCCTCGATAAAATTGCAAGAGAGAACCCAGATAACGTAAAAGTAAGGAACTCCCTCCTCAAAAAAAGCCAGGTGTGGTGGCACACACCTGTAATCCCAGCACTTGGGGAGGCTGAGACAGGATGATCACAAAGATCACAAATTTGAGCCCAGCCTTGTCAAGTTAGTGACTTAGTAAGACCTGCCTCATAATAAATATAAAAAAGGATCTGGGAATATAGCTCAGTGCAGACCCTGGGTTCAGTCTCCATTACATTTGTTATTTTAAAACATCATGGAGAATTAAATATTCCTCGTTTCTGCCATAACTAACACCGTTCCTTTTCCTAAAACCCTTGGAAGCCCTGGGGAGCTAGGTGGCAATTGTATGTTATCTTTAAAGTAGCTTCATGAAATATTTCGTATTATTTGTGTTTAAACATTTTTTATCATCACATAATTAAAAATAATACCTGTCAACGTGAAGTCATTACAGGTGTTCTTATTTTAAGGCATTGCTCCCAACACAATGTTAGCAAAAGTCTGCAGTGATAAGAATAAACCAAACGGACAGTACCAAATTCTCCCCAGCAGACAAGCTGTGATGGAGTTCATCAAAGACTTACCCATCAGAAAGGTAAGATGTTGTATAAAATGTAGCATTTGTATATATACTTTGAATTCTAAAGAGATGCTAAGGAGATGATAACTTTTTCGCTGAAAAGTTTTAAAACACTAGGTAGCAGGTAAGAACTATAATGGTGGTTGAATGGAAATTTGAAGAAACCTTTCTCTGAAATCCTTAGGTTTATGAAGCTTATATGCAGGTGTTATTTTGTTTTGAGACAGGGTGTTACTGTGTAGCCCAGGGTGGCCTTGAATGCTCAGTGATCTTCCTGCCTCGGCCTCTTAAGTGCTGCAGTTACAGACATGCACCACCTCCTGAAACTTTTTTTAATGTTTTAAAAATTTTTTTGTTTGATACTGGAATGTTTGATGCTGGAACTTACAACCTTGTGCTTGACAAGCAGGCACTGCCCAGCTGAGTTATCTCCCTGACCCTTGTTTTTGTTTTTTCAGACAGGTCTCCAGGGCTGGCCTTGAACTCAAGGCACTCCTCTGGCCTCTGCCTCCCAAATGTGGTATTACAGTAGTATACTCCCACACCTTGCTTTTGTGGGAAATTTTTAAGAAAATAATAGATGGTAGACTCTTCAGTGAACTTGCCAAAAAGAAATAAAAAGTATCCTTGAAGGAGTATTTTCTTTTCTTTTTTTTTTTTTTTTTTTTTTGGTCTTTTTTTTTTGTTTGTTTTTTATCGGTACCAGGGATTGAATTTATGACTGCCTGCTTGCAAGGCAGGCGCTTATGCCACTGAGCTAAATCTCCAGCCCTGAAGGAGTATTTTCAACTCTTCATACTATCTTAGTTCTCTAAGCCACATTGCTATTAGAAGATGTGATACTTAGAAGACAGAATTTTTGTTGTTTTTGACAAAAAGTAGACTACAATACTTTACTGTCTTTAAAATGATAAAATTATCCCTTAGGGATTCCAGAAAAAGATGTATTTTATTATTCTTTAGATGTTTAGATTTTTCTGCTTATACACACTTTTTTTATAGTAACTGTACTATACACTATATAATGATCTAGGGCTTGTTTTCATTCATTTATTCATATGCATGAACTTAAATGAGGGACTTTTGAATGTTCAAAAAGAGGGGCTCTATCAAAGTATACAATGTATATGATTATTGGTAATGCATATAAGGTGTAGTTATAAAATAGTGGGTTTCTTTTTCTATTGTGTTTTTCAAGGTACAAATAGATTCTCAATATAAAAAGGCTCTGGGATCTAATGACTTTGGAGTCTCCCATCCTTGGGTGGTCCACTCTGTATATAATGGTATGTTAAAGACTCATAAATCTTGTAGCAGAAAGTTCCATTTGAGTTTGTCTGCTCTACCAGTCTTAAGCTTATATGCCCACAGAACCTCTTTTAATGTCTTTAAAGATTTGATGGAATGGTACTTTAGGAAATGTGACCAAAAAGTAATAAACTCAGTTTTCTTACATGACTTATGAAGGTACATTATTCATACCTTTTATTGATTGTAAGAGCTATAAAATCATAACCTCAGTTCTGACCTTATTTTTGTAAAAACCTACTAATAGTAAATATTGATTGTCTTCTAGATCTCTGGAATTGGAAAAGTTACAGAGAAAATGTTAAAGGCCCTTGGAATTATTACTTGTGCAGAACTCTATCAACAGAGGGCATTACTTTCTCTCCTTTTCTCTGAAACATCTTGGCATTATTTCCTTCATATTTCCCTGGGCCTAGGTTCAACCCACCTAGCAAGGTATGCATGTGTATAGTCATTTTGCTTTTTGTTTATCATTTATTACAATATCAGCATTAGCCATTGTGATCAAGGCTACAAATATAAAATGTTTTAAAATTCTTTTAGACTAGTTTAATTCAGAATATAATTTCGGATTATAAAGTCAGCAGATTGGATATGGATAGAAAGGGGAAAAAGGAATAAGAGCCAGTCCTGGATCACTGACTTAAGCAGTCGGGTAAATGAACCAGAGGAACACTGGTTATTTCCTTTCCTTTCCCCACTGTGTTCTGTGTTCAAAACATAAGGGGAACACCTGTGGTCAGTTGCTGAGGGAAGAAAGATGGCGTGGATTCCACAATTCACTCTTTAAACGAGGAAACATAAGGATTATTTGAAAGCCTTACTGAATTGACTGTATTTCATTTCTTTTCCAAATGTGTAAATGACTCACTCACTTCACACTGGGTACTTGGTGTTAGACATCGTTCTAGGCACTAGGAATAGTAATCGGGAGGAGGGCAGAGTCCTGTCTGCATGGAGTTTACACTCTGGTGTGAGGGATAGGAAATAACCAAGTGAATAAATAAGAAAGTGAAGTAGGATGAGGGCATAGAAAATGTGGGGTTGACAGAAGTCATACAGCAGCAGGGCCCTGAGAGAGCCAACCTTGCAAGGTCTTAAAAAGAGAACAGATAAAGAAAAGACCCTAGATTTTCTTTCAGTCACTTTGTATCTGGTTTTACAAAGAGGTAACCTGCAGGTGGAAGGGTGAACTGTCGGGGATAAAGGAAAAGAAGGGGATACAAAAGAATGAGACCCATGAACGTCAACCATGACTACTATTTTTACAATTTTGTCATCATCCTGCCAGTTTTTTTTCAAAATGACTTCTTTACCTTCTTGCACTTAAACAAAGGGCAGCAACAAGATCACTGAGAAGGCCTATAAAACTGGGTAACCAAGTAAGCCTGCAAATCTTACAGGGATCGCGAGGCTTGTATTACCAGCCTCATCTCTGCTCTTCAGGCTTCTGAGCAGTCACGTGACTTTGGTCTTGCACGGATAGAGTGAGAGGCATCACAGCACTGTAAATTATCCAGTGTTTAAGGAAAACGGAAACAAAACTTCCTTTTTTAACCTAAAATTTACTCTTTTTTATTTCCATAGTGCTTGAAAGTAATATAGTTAGTTCTGATATTACAGATTCAGGTAAGGCCTTTAAGAGAAAGCTATATGTCATCTGTGATAATATACAGTAGCAGGTCACCCTTCCGCTCAGCCATATTTTTTGTTACTCTGCTTTGTTGATTTTTTTTAACTTTGTTTAACCTCACAGTAAAGTCAAAAACATATTTCTGTTTTTAGCTTCTAGATTTTTTTCCATTTCTTTTTTTTGTTTTCTTTTGAACTGGGAATTGAACTCACAACCTCGTGCTTTCCAGGCAGGTGCTGCACCACTGAACTATGTCCCTGGCCCTCTGCTTTGTTTTTAGTCTTGAGTATTGCTTCCCTTGTAACATACTCTGTATGATGAACTATTTGTTTTATCTGTTTCATTCTGTCGGGATATCTGTTAGGGGCAGACATGTGCTCGCTTCGGCAACACATACACTAACACGGCAAATGTGTGGCCCATTCAGCCCTCTGTCCCCTCATTCTCGAATAGTGTTCGAGCCATAATATGTTCACTGGTTATTTGGAAAACGAATGATCTGCATCATTTTGGCTTTTTGGCTGCAGTTACCCTATCAAAAATGGTAGGACATATCCAAAGCAGATGGCTCACCCAGCTGCTATGTTTAGAGAACTATAAATAAGTAATGAACTGACTTATAGATGAGAGAAGTTAAAGCTAGGGCCAAAATTAGACAATCAATATTAAAATGTTAAAATTTTAATTGTATCCTATAATTACAAATTGTTACACTACTGCCTTCTCCTAGTTTCAGTAGAAGCACCTTATAACATCTACCCTGTTGTTAAGTTTCTTTTCTTCAATACATATAGACTTGATCTATGACATATGCCATCATGTTAACATCTTAACTATCTTGTGGGGGACTTTTTATTTTTTTTAGATCGAATAGAAAAAACCTGATAGTTTCTCATGGTATACACATTTGAAATTTGAGATGTCTAAAGGGCAGCAGTGTGTTAAAACCTCTTGATTGATCAAAGGTAACTTAATCTTTGAGAAAGAAAGTAACGACTTGTTTTGTTTTCAAGGGATGGAGAAAGGAAAAGTATGAGCGTTGAGAGGTAATGCTTTGCTATTTTTAATTATTCATAATTGATGTTATGTTAAACTAATTTTTAAATTAATTTTTGGTAGAATGTCACAGAAATTAGAAAATATTATTGATGAAAGACAAGTTAGATATCATCTAGTTGATGGAACTTTTTTGTTTGAGAAAAGCTGTTTTTTCCGAAAAGCCCTTGGTTATTTCCTCAAAGTGACAGAGTTCCATGAGACGCTGAAGAACTACTGATCTACTGACTGCTGGCCTCCTGCTCAAGTTTATGGTTCATGATCAGAAAAGCTGGATGAGTTTGATAAGACACTGGTCTTATCAATTTGATAAGACACTGATCTTATCAATTTGTCATCTGATATGAGATAGTATTGACCAATTTAATGAATTTTCCTTCTACTTTTATCTTTTATTACTAAAACTATGACGACATACAAAAATACATTTTCCATTTTCATGAAATTTGAATAGAGTAGAAGAGAAAGAAGATGCAAATACTAGCCAACACAAGGAGCAATCTTCTGTGGGTGGGTTTGACCCCCAGTACTGAGGAAACAACTATGCTAGGAGGTAAAGAACTCTTATAATTGATAAGAAAGCACCCACTGTACTAGTGCAAAACAAGAAACAAAGATCTAATTAGCTAACTGAACAGGAAATTAAAATGGCTCTTAAAATACATAGAAATATTTCCATTTTCATTTTTAATGAAAGAAAAATATCAAAACCTTCCTAAGGTAGCATCATTCACTGATCAAGTTGAGCAGAGATTTCTAGCATATTCTTTTGACAAAACAATGGGAGTGAAAAAGTCAAAAAGGGCATGTGCTCCTTTCCTATTGCTGTTGTAACAAATTGCTATAAATTCCGTGGCATAAAACCACAGGAATGTATTCTCTGCAAGTCAGAAGTCCTAAAATCAAGCTGTTGGCAGGCAGCACTCCTTGGACAGGCTCCAGGCGAGAATTCATTTCTTTCCCAAGAGTGTCTAAGGGTTGCTTGCATTCTTTGGCTCGCAGATCCAGTCAGCATCTTCTTTCTTTAACTCTGACCTCTTGCTTCCTTCTAATGAAGATGTTTGGAAATTCAATGGGAGCACTTTGGATACTCTAGGATAATCAACCGTCTCAATTTATCACATCTAAGAAGTCTCTTTTGCGATGTAAGGTCCCAGATTTACAGGTTCCTGGTATCAGAATAGAGGCATCTTTAGGGAACATTATTTGGGCCATTACAAGGAAAATCACTAATGAATCAAAATCACAGGTGAATATGTACAGTACTTTGGTCCCTTCATTCTTTTTCTAGAGGAATTCATTCCACAGATGCAATTCCATACCATTTTACATGTATACAGAGTTATTCATTGAATTTTAGGCTAGCAAGATATCAAAAATAATTTACATATCTATGAATGGAGAATTTTTTAAATCATGTTATATTTTTAAATTAGAATATTATGCACCCATGTAAAGTGAAGAAAATACTTATTGGGAACCCTCACCAAAATTGAGAATAGTAAGCTGCTAAATAATGTATATAACATTGTACTATTTGTGTTAAATTAAGACAATGATTGCTTGTTTGCTTATACCACATATGTGTAAATATTAGCCTATTTCTGTTCTTGTAGCCAAATGGGTAAAGCTAGATAACTTTACAAACAAAAGAGGGTTCTTTAGCCTGGAGGTGACAGAGTGATGGTTCACAACTGCTGATGGCCTTCTTAGTCCTCGGGGCAGTGCTGGCCAACATACAGCAAGACACCCATGCGTGTCCCTTCTAGCATGTGCGTCTTCTGGCCTCTCTCCCTCTCCTTAGAAAGCTACAGAATTCAACTGGTGGGGCCTCACCTGATGACCTTCTCTAACTCTAATCACTCTCAAAGTCAATGGTTTCAACCCTTGTAATTAATACCTCACACTGGAAGTTAAATTTCAATACATGGGAGGCATATTCAAACTCTACCCAAACCATAGCAACCTGAAATATTTCAGGAGAAACTCACAAGAATAAAAAGATAACTGATAAGATCCAAAAAGCACAGTAGATATAATGAAAGGATAAGAAACTGCTCAAAAGGAAAAAACTGGGTAGTGGAAAGCAGAAAAGAAAGAAGGTAAAAGAAAAAATAATATTTAGATATCCATATTTTATGTTTGTGTATATATGTATACACACAAGATAGCTACAATAATTACCCTACTAATTTCTGTTAATTCATTGAAAACAACAGTTTGTGCTTATACTGTTTGACCAATTTTGCGTGCCTATATCTTGTAATCTGAGCAAGTAACTTTGAAGATAATAATATGCAATATATCAACCACTTAATTTCCCATTTTCTCGTTCTGAAACTCTGTATCATTGTTTTTACTATATTTTCTTTCATCTTTAAAATAAAGATTAATAAACAGGAAAAAATAGTAAAAAGACTGGCAACAGAAGTCTAAATAGGGTGAATTGTGTTCAGACTCCGAAAACACAGCTGAGACTGTGACCCCAGGATGGTGGCACAGGGCTGGTGACCCCATTGACAGTAGGGATTGCACTGAGTGTTTTGATCAAGGCTATGAAGCAAGCTCCAGGTAGACGGGACAGGAGGAACCACGCTAATATCATCTCTCAACATCTTTCAACATTCTTTTGAAGATGAATTCAAAGTTTCTGCCTTCTTACCGGCCCTCTCTCTATTTCCTTTATTAGACAATGCAACCTACATACTATGAACCAGCATCTTAGATCTACTTGAAGATACTTCTGTCCAGGAAACTTATGTGCAGTAATTGGAATGATGTTCTCATTTTTACTTTCTTAAGATAGTCTTCAGTAGCAGAATTTTTATATATATATACCGTAAATGTATAAGTTCTAAGAGCATTACCACTATGTGTTGGTAACTTTAACTATCATTTAAAAGATATTGTAGAGAGAATAACAGTGTGGAATTTCTCCTTTGCTGATCAGTTAAACTATCCAAAATGTTTTCTATTACTTATATAAACCATGCATTTTTAAATTAATTATCTCTAGTTTGTCTGAAAATTTCTTTTGTACTGCAGAAAATATATCTAAATGCCTATTTGTACCATATTGTTCCCGGAGTGTTCTGAGTTATAGTTTATTTTGTGTAGTAAAATCATTCTTGTCTCTTTAGAACGTTTAATGAAATAAACAAAGCAGAAGACCAATATAGTTTGTGCCAGGAACTTTGCAGTGAAATTGCTCAAGATCTCCAGAAAGAAGGACTAAAGGTATTCTTAGGTTTCAAAAATGCATACATTTGATTAGGCACAAAATCAGTTATGCTGACATCAGGAGAATAAGGCAGAGAAGGACTTCTCTAGAGCTGTACTCATAGTTTACAGATTTCCCCTAGGCATCTTGTAATGTTTTTCTCAGGTAGGCCATGAGCTTCTAGAACAGGTATTATGTTTCAGGGCTCTAATCCAGGTTGCTACACACACTGAGAGCAAAAGCTCAGAATGCGTTGTACTTCCCTCACTACGTCCACATATTTCCCAACGCTGTCAGATCAAAGGTGGCGTTATTTCAAAGTATAATGCAAAAGATTACCATTTTATTACAAAGAGTAGAGTATCTGATGAACTGTTTTCTTCCAGTCCTTCTCTAGCATACCTCAAGTATAAAGGGTTCTTTAAAAATATTTAAATAAGCTTTGAATTTCAGAATCATTATAGATTTAAAGAACAGTTACAAAAGGAATAGATATTTCCAGTGTACCTCTCATCTAGCTCAATTATTAACATTTAGTATATTGTCAACAGACAGTGACTTTTACACATTATTACTAACTAAACTTCAAGCTCTATTTGGATTTCCTTGTTTTTCTATTAATTACTGCTCTCTGTTCCAGGGTTCAATCCAAAAAACTATATTGCATTTAGTTATCATGTCTCATTAATTGTCTTTGGTCTATGAGTTTCCTAAAATTTTCTTCTTTTTCCTTTGACACTCTTGAGGAGTACTGGCAAGATATCCCATAGACTGTTCTCAGTCTAGGTTTGTCTGTGGTTTTCTCACAGTTAGAACAGGACTATAGGATTTTAGAAGAAATGCCACAAAGTTGAAGTGTCCTTCTTATCATATGCTGTCAGAAAGTGTGTGACAGTCATGTAGAGAGTGATGTTACCCATTTCACTAGGTTAAGGTAGTGTTTGTTAGGCTTCTCCACCATGAAGTTACAGGTTTTTTCCTTTGGAAATGAGTTAGTAGATCTAATTCAAGTGATAGAGGGTAGGAATTACCTCCAGGAGATACTAAGATGTATGTAACACAGAATTTACCCTTCTGTAAACAAATGGCTCAGCGGTAGTGATAAGTGCAGCACCCGTCATCACTGTCTGTCTGTGAAGACTCCATCATTCCCAGTTGAGACTCTGGGCCCTCTAGACCCTGACTGGGTAGGGAACTCTTACAGATACATTGTTTAGCACAGCATCTGGATGTATTTGGCACACAATACAGTGAGCTACTCATAAACTCTTTTCAATAAAGCACCTTTAGATTTTTCTCTCCTGCCTTTTTCAGGTCTGAATTAACTTGTAAAAGAGGTTCAATAAAAAGAAAATGATCAGTTAACACTGCCCTTTATATAAAGGTATTTATACCTTTATATTTGGTTGGGGAGGGAAATAATAATTATTAACTAAAACAGGGGTTTTGCATTACTTACAGATTTTAATTCCTTATGACAATTTTCAGTATCATGTTTTATAAATAATTGATATATGTTTCCATATTCTTATATGCCCATAAAGACCTTCCTGAATTTTTCTAACCTATAAATAACTTTTCTAGAAGTTAGAAAGCTTTATGTAATGATGTATTTTGTGTGTTATAGGGTCGAACTGTTACCGTTAAGCTGAAGAATGTGAATTTTGAAGTAAAAACTCGTGCATCTACAGTTTCATCTGTTGTTTCTACTGAAGAAGAAATATTTGCCATTGCAAAGGAGCTGCTAAGAACAGAAATTGATGCCGCTTCTCCATATCCCTTAAGATTAAGACTTATGGGTATGACTCTCCTTGTTTTTCCTTAAATCTGTTAGATTTTCTCCCAAAGATTTAACTTGGGAAATATTCTGACCTCAATTTTACTTCTTAGAATTGTTTGTTAAGTTCTCACTGTGCTGCTGCCATTTGTCCTAATTCTTAGAATGATGCATGTGAAACAGATTATTAGTTTATTTCTGGTATAAACCAATTAAAGTTGTTCTATTCCTCTTGTTATGTTCTGAAATTTTGGGGCAAAATATGTTCCAACATTCAAAACTTTTCCCATTTGAGAAGGCATATAATCTGAGCATCTGGATCAGCACTTCCTGATCAGAAACATTAATATTTCTATGGCAAAACAAATTCCAGACTGTAAGACCCAAAATAGTGTCACATTAATTCATTCATCATTGATCACTTGTTGCTTACAATTTTCAGAACTTCACATTTCAGAATTACAGATAAAAGATTACGACACTAGTGAACCACATCTCTAGCTACTACATGGTAAAAATAAACAAATAAGCCACGTTTCTAAAGTGGGCTGGGTGAGAGAATGTATATACTGTAAATAAGCTTTCTAGATGCCTTCTTTACTGCTAAGATTTGGTCGTTGCTCACTTTCATACATGAAAATTAGCACATAGTGAAATCTGCTGATTAAAGTGTTAATTAAGAATGTAAATTAAGACAAAAGGCAAGTATCTGTAGAAGTGTGCAAGCAACCAAGATATCCTTCAGTGAATGGATAAACTAGGGTACATCCAGATGACAGAATGATATTCAGGACATAAAATGAATGAGCCATTAAACCATGGAGGAAACATGCTTGCATATTGCTAATGGAAAGAATCCAGTCTGACAAGCCAGCACCTATATGATTCCAACTGCAGTGATGCCTCAGTGCACAAACTCCTTTCCACAGTTCTGGTCACAAACTGAGTTGGATGAGAACCAAACCAAATTTGTAGACCCTATGGAGAAATTCAATTCGGTTCTCATCCAGTTTGTGGAGAGAATTGAGTTTCTGACCAACCTAAGGCACTCTGAAAAAGGCAAAACAGTGGAGACAATATAAAGATGGGAGGGTGGTGGGGGCAGGCATAATGGTGCATACCCATAATCCCAGCACTCAGGAAGCTGAGGCAGGAAGATTGTCACAGGTTCAAGGCCTGCTGGCTACATAGTGAATTTAATGCCAGCGAAAATTACATGTAAGAGCCTGTATCACAAAAAAAAAAAAAAAAAAAAAAAGATGGGTTGTTTGGGTTGAAAAGAATAATCAAGCACAGTGAATTTTTAGGCAGTAAAACTACTATTTTGTATAATTCTATAGTGGTGGACACGTCATTATAATGGAATGTATGAAAGTGAACTCTACTGTAAGCTGTTGTTGTAGCCAGGGGTTGCAGGGAGAATAGTTACATACAGGACACAGAATTTATAGTATTATTTATGATGGTCACCCAGAGTCAAATACAAAGAACGTGCAAGAAATTTGTCCACAACACTACAGACCCAGAAAGTCCAGCTGAGGACCTGGATCCCACAGCAGTGTCCTGCATGAGTCCAGCTGAAGAGCTAGAGCCCATGACAGTCCCTCCCACAAGTTCAGCTAGAAGCCTAGAGCCCATGACAAGGACTCATGCAAATCTGTTTTATGGATCTGCACTGGGAGGGCCCAAAGGTCTGTGGTAGTAGCTTTAAAGTCTGTGCCAGCAGGATGAAGGAGCTGTGCTAGTAGGTTGAGGGTTCTACACTGGAGCCAAGAAGCGATTCTCAAAATAAGGACTTGGGCTCTCCCAAAGAGTACCACAGCCATCCTCAGCAACAATGAGCTGTGCTTCTCTGACAATGAGAACAGCTGTGTTCATATCAGGAAGCCAATGTGACAAGTCTTCCTGGAGATTGAACAGCACACCATCTTCCCCTCTGGATTCAAGAAGCAATGCTCAATGTAAGGACCAGAGCTACCCCAAAGTGAACCACAGCCATTCTCAGCAACAAGGTCTCAAATTTCTCCAATGATAACAGCCAAATTCATATCAGGGAAGCCTACATGACAGGATCCTCCAGAAGAACCAACAGTGTCAAAAAAAAAAACAACATTTAGGAGAACCCACAATGCTACCCTCTTCCTCTCCACATCTGTTTTTTATAAGCTGGCAACTTTCCTCAGGTGGGCTGTCTACACGCAGCATCATACTGATGCAGTTCAGCTGGTGTTAAGCTGGCCACCATAATCCATAATGGCTGTGGACTTTGGATACCAGTGTTGTGTTGGCATAGGTCCATCCGTTGTGACAAATGTGCCATTTTGAAACAGGGTGTTGATTGTGGGGAATCTGTGCGTGTATGGAGTCAGAGCATACCTGGGAATTCTCTGTACCATCTTCTCAGTTTTACTGTGAACCTAAGACTCTTTAAAAACCAAAAATCTGTTTTAAAAAATAAAAGCTGAAAAGTCTGTACCCGATTCCAGTTAGTTATTTTTAATGACACTGTAAGCCATATACAAATTCAAAGTCCTATGTAACCATACCAACTCCAGTAGAATGTTGATATTTAATGATACCCAGTTTTATAAAGGAAAACAAATTTCTACTCTTAAAATGGGATTTGTAAAAGCCTTATGCTGGGGCTGTGGATTTAGCTTAGCGGCATAAGCACCTGCCTTGCAAGCAGGCGGTTGTGAGTTCGATCCCTGGTACCAATAAAAATGAAAAAAAGACAGGAAAAAAAAAGCCTTCATGCTGCCCCCCTCAATACAGGGGGTTGAACCCAGGGGCTTCACACTGAACTACGTCTCTAGCCTTTTTTGTTTTTTATTTTGGGACAGGGTCTTGATAAGTGGCTAAATTGCCTAGGCTGTGTTCATACTTGTGACCTTCCTGCCTCAGCCTCCTAGAGTGCTGGGGTTACAGACTTGCAATTCCATGCCTAGCTAAAAGCATTCTTTAATTTAAAAAAATATTGGGCTGGGGGTATAGCTGACTACATACCTAGTGTGCACAGTGCCCTGCTTCAGTCCCCAGCACTGCAAGGAAAAAAAATCTGTATCTGTCCTTAGGGTTGGCTCATTCTCTCTAACCAGCTTTTTGTATATATGTCATAACAATGTTACGTTGATGTTTTTATTCATGGGCTTTGTTAAATTTACAATTGATTTATTGTATTTGATTTTATTTAGGTGTTCGGATATCTAGTTTTCCTAGTGAAGCAGACAAAAAACACCAACAAAGGAGCATCATTGGCTTCTTACAGGCTGGGAACCAAGCTTTGTCAGCCCCTGGGTGTACAGGAGAGAAGACTGATAAAGATCAGTGTCTAAAACCTCAAAAAATGTCTCACGAGAAGAGTTTTTTTGATAGAAAACGATTAGAAAGGAAATGGAGCCACCAAGACACATCTCAATGTGAAACTGTGGATAAACCAAATTTATACACATCACCACCATTCCTAGTGATAAAGGAGACGAATGAGGGTTCAGAAACATCAGAGAGTTCAGATCGCTGTCAGACGTTTACCTGTCCCGTTTGCTTTAGGAAGCAAGAAAACATCAATCTAGAAACCTTCAATAGACATGTAGATGCATGTCTTGATGGTCCTTCAGTCAAGGAGAATTGTGAAGTGTTCGCGTGTGCATACGCTTCCTCTGCAGATGGTGGCCAGAAAGAAAACACACATCATTCTTCTTCACTTTGGGAGAAGCAGGATTGTGAGACCCATCAGAAAAATGGAGAAGTCACTTCAGAAGATCGTGTTGATTTGGTAACGGCCAGAGATAGCTCATCAAAACCAGAAAGCGCAGACTGTCTAAGGAACAAGCACAGTGCAGAGGAACATTCTAGTGTTCCTACCACGCCCTCTGGGACTGTTTCATTGGCAGATGCAGATGTTGAGTTGGTAAGTGGCCAAGAAGTGGCAGCTGGCCAAGCTCTTGTCTGTCCTGTTTGTAATCTAGAACAAAACACTTCAGATCTCGACCTGTTCAATGAGCACGTGGATATTTGCTTAAATAAAGGCGTGATCCAAGAACTGAGAAATGAGAGCAGGAGTGTGGTCAGCCAACCCCAAGGAAGCTCCAGAAGTACTGGTGAGTTTACAGTCATTAAAAAGAACATGACTTTCTGAGAATATATTTTATTAAATTAATGAGACTGTGAAGTCTAAGATGCGTACCATAACAGGGTAGTTTGTATATGCTGCTTGCTAGGAAAATGTTAATTAATGGTAAATTAGAATACCTCAAGCAATAGCTTTTGAGAATGTAAAGAAAACTCCAGTTTGGGTCTAATGTAGCATAGAGTAAGTTCACAGATTTAAGAGCTGAGGGGTCTAATCAATAAAGAAATTCAGAGAACATTTACCAACTCTCCATGACATAGTCATTGTACTTACAGAACTAGAGCGCTTCTCCAACTGGCTGTTTGTAGTGTTGACTCTAGTCATATTCCAGAAGTAAAATTAAGGGTGATACTAGTAAAACTAGTAAATTACAAGGAAGTTACCCTATGAAGTAAGTATCTGGTATGCATAAATGAACTGTGTAGTACCAAGGAAATTTTTAATAAGCTTTTAACTTTTTAAATTTGTATAAAGCTTTTCAGTTACTTCATGTTACTCATTGTACAATTTCTTGACTTTTCTTATCTCCAAAGGTACCTCAAGCAAAGTTCAGAAGACTGTAACAAAAACAAAAAGGTAGGACTAATTTAGCTTTAATAATGCTAAATAGTAATTTAGCATGTTTTGGGATCTCATTTTTAGGAGATGTTAAATTTTACTTTTTTAAATCATCAAGTAACATTTTAAAAATCAATTATTTGAAAAATTATTTTTAAAATCTCCTCCTGCATTTTAATTGTGTGTTATTCTTCATTCCAGGCCAGGACTGATGACAAAGCATTCAACATCAAAGAAAATAAAACCAAACAATCCCAGGCATACCCTTGATACATTTTTTAAATGAATATTGAACACTTTTTCAGTCATTTTTCATTGAAACTTGTTGTTTTTATAATCAATGAATTTATTCTTTTTCATTTTAAGTTTATAGATTTTTTAAGGAAGGCAACTACAATAATCCCTCCCCAATAAATATATATTAATTTACTTCTTTACACTATTTATAACGTTGAGAATTTTATTTCCATTGTTCATCAATTGCAAATCCTGCAAGAGATCGTTAAAAAATAATAAATGGGATCAGAATATTAGTGATTTCCTTATAATAGTGAATATAAACACATATTTATTCAGTGTTTAACCACTTGGTTGAGTTGGACTCAGCCTTCAGATACCTCATGAACATTCATAGTTAAAATTCATTGTAAGTTCTGTCAATAGTATAGCATAACAGAACTAGCATGAATGGTTTGATACCTGCAGGAAAATAGATGTTACAGTGTTATTTGTGGTAGAAGGATTTCTGCTTAGAATACTGTTAAACTCATTTTGTTATTGTTTTAAAATTTCTTTATCTTATGAATAAGCACGTGGTTCACTTTTTAAAAATATTTAGTCTTAAGATTGAAAGTTTTTTTCTAAATATACCATTTTTAATAGCATTGTTTCATTTCTTGACAATTGTGTTTGTACTTTTCACAAATCTGTGAAAAAAAATTGTGTAGTCACTTTATTTCCATTCTAATCCTCAAGAGAAAAGGGTGCAATTCAAATGATTATTGTGTATTTCTCTTGGTTGCATTTCTGTCATATTCTAATGTTTGTAAAAGAAGACAACTTAAACGTGTTCGCAATAAGTGGATACGCAACACTTTGGTGCTACCAGTGTGTTCTTACTAAAAATATGATTTAATTGGAGTCATTTTTGCTACTGTTTTATGGAACGAAATTCTTTTTTTCTTTTTTCATATTTTAGCTTGTTATTTGCTAATGATATTTGAGGGATAGCTAGGTCATATAAAGGCCTTTAGCCAAACTGGTAATTTGACTATTTTATTCTTGTTCTGTGGATTGAACCTAGGACCTCACACATGATAGGCAAGCACTCTGCATCTGAGCTATGTACCTCTGGAGCCCTTATTTACTTGAGACAAGGCCTTGCTAAGTTACCTAGGCTGGCCTCTAACTTAAATCTTCCCACCTCAGCTTCCTGAATACTTGGGATTATGAGCATACTCCACCACGTCCAGCGAATAAACTTGACTTTTAATTATTAGAATGTTTAAAATTAGAAAGACTATTAATGCCTGATGTTCTTATAATTCAGAATTGTATGACCGTAATGCTTGATTGTTGTTTTACTTATGTAAATAATGTACAAAATTAAATTCAATGAAATTTAATATGTTGAAAAATAAATAGCATCATATTTGTTTTCTATATTGCTTGAAGTGTATTGTTTTCTACATTAAGTACTAAATTATTTATATTTAGGTGATACATTGAATGCTATCATATAATGATATTTAATAATTTTAAATAAAATTTCAAAAATTTTAATTGATCTGTTAGTCAATAGAGATGGTTTCCTTAATTTTCCACTTTTCATTTCATCTCATGATGCTTTTCTTTTTACTTTCTCTGTCCAAAATTCTCTCCACTTTTTTTTCTATCTTTTTGGGTAGATAGATAGAATGGGTAATATATTCAACCCATTTTCTATTATGATTTTTACTTGGAGCGTTTTAAAAGTATAGCAAAACTAACAGCAATAGTAGTACGCATCCATCATCTTAATTAAAGGATCAAAATATAAAAAACCATCTAGAAGAATATGTTTGTAACACTTATAACTGATCACAAAACAAGCAAAAATTAGTGTCTGGGATATTAAATTGATTCTTAGGAATCAAGAAGATATAATCAATCGAAGTTCAAACAAAAGACTTTATATGGTACTTTATATAAAAAGAAATCCAGATGATGAAGAAGTGTGACAACATTCTCAACCACATTAGTAATCTGGAAATGAAGCCTAACCCTACAGAGATACTGTATCTCTACCATATTCACAAAAATAAAGCAATCCAATGACAGTTTCAGTGATGATGTGAACTCCTACACTGAAAATAGTAATTTTGAAAAGCAGTTTCTCCTCTAGTAAGTTTAATAAGGTGGATGAAAACTGGAAACAGAAGTAAAACTAAAACTTTTTATATGGCTAGATGTTGTATTTGCCTACATTTTAAAAAAACATTCGTTTTGGCTTACCTGCCTACATTTTTCAAAATATGTGTTTAATAAAAGTTTAAGAAATCTAAGTCTAGGCTAGGTATGGCGGCACATGCCTGTAATCCTGGCACTCAGGGAGGCTGAGGCAGGAGGACTGCTGTGAGTTCAAGCCTGGGCTACCCGGTGAGTTTAAGGCCAGCCAGAACTATGCAGCAAGACCCTAAATAATTTAATTAAGTTAAATAAAATCTCAGTCTATAAGATCAATGTATAGAAACCTAAAAGGTAATAGTATCAAATTAGAAAATAGAATAATGTCATTTATGTTACAAACAAAAGTCTCTGAGGTATCTCTGAGGAAATCTATCAAAACTGTACAAGGATTTGGAAACTACAAAATGTGATTGAATGACATAGTACATCTAAGCAAATGACTGACTTTGTTTGTGAATAGGAACAATGTCTATCAAGAACCATTCCCCCAAAACTTATTTTGTAAATTCAACAAAATTCAAAATAAAGCCCTTTGTGGTTTTTTTGTCTTATAAACTGGGACGATTTTATATAGAAGAATAAAGGCCTAATAACTAAGAGCATAACACAGGCCCTCTTAGATTTCAAAATCTATTATAAATCTGTAGTAATTGATACAATGCCATTTGAATAAAGATAGGCATTTTTAATAACTCAGGATGAAAAGTATTGACTATTCAATAAATGGTTCTTTCACAGCTGATTATAGTATTGGTCTCTTCCTAGATGCCAGGACAAAATAGCCTACACCTGCAACTTGAAGGAAGTAAGATTTTTTTTTTGGCTTATGGTTGGTTGGTTCACAGCTTCAGAGGGTTCAGTCCATGATAAGTTGGCTGTAAGGCAAAATTAGCAGGGTGTGAAGGGTCTTGTAGACGGCAGTTGCTCAAACCATGACAGCCAGGAGGCGGAGAGAAAAACGAGAATCCAGGGATACAAATAGACACTTGCAGCATATACCTATAATCCCAGCACTCATGGTTGCTGCAGAAGAATTATTACAAGTTCGGGGCTGGGGATTTAGCTCAGCGGCATAAGCGCCTGCCTTGTAAGCAGGCAGTTGTGAGTTCGATCCCTGGTACCGATAAAAAGGAAAAAGACAAAAAAAAAAAAAAGAATTATTACAAGTTCAAGGGCAGCCTAAACTACACAGTTGTCATAGAGTTTGCAAGGGAAACAATACAGGACATATAATTTGTAGGGTTATTTTATTACAGTCATCCAAGGAGTTAAATACAAAAACTGAATGAAATCTATCCACATACTAACAATTGAAAGAATCCAGCTGAGATCCTGGATCCATAGCAATGTCCTGCGTGAGTCCAGCTGAGAACCCAGAGCCCATGACAGTGCTCCCCCACATGTCCAGTTGGAGGCCTAGAGCCCATAACAACATCTCATGCAAGACTGTTTCACCGATCTGGACTGGGAAGAGCCAAAGGTCTGTGGTGGAAGCTAGAAAGTCTGTGCAGCAGGATGCAGGATCTGTGCTAGTGGACTGAGGTATCTGCACTGGAGCCACGTAGCAACACTCTAAGGACCAGAGCTCCCCTGAAAAGTACCACAGCCATCTTCAGCAACAGTGAGGTCCTGAGCTCCTCTGTTGATGAGAACAGCCTATTTCACATTAGGAAAGAAGCTTCTCCAGGAGAACCAACAACACCAGTAGAACCAAAAACACTCCTTCCTCTCTAGTTCTCCCTTTTATGCTGTTGGCAACAATCCTCAGGTGGGCCTTCCACACCCAGAACCACGCTGATTCAGTTTGTCTGGGTGTTACAAGTTGGCCACCAGTGTCAGTGCACCACAACAGTGCAATCCTGTTTCAAAAAGAAAAAAAAAAAATAGGCCCTTTCAGGACACATCCCTAATGACCATCTCCACCCAGACCTACTTTCTACAGCACCTTCACCAGGACTGTGTTGGTGAATCTTTTAGAGACCAAGTGCCCAAACTGCACTTATTTATCACAGAATGCCAACACTGCAATTAAACATGAATATCCAGTGTTTGGCTGCTGGGGCAACTTGGTTTGTGTGCCAGCAGAGAGGGTGCTGCATGCCCACTGTGGCACATGTACCATAGAATTGCCACCACTGACCTAGGAACTCATAAACGAGAGTAGTAGCCTAATGATCCAATGCAGTATCCTAATGATCCACTTTCCAGGAACCCCACCTGTGAACACATGAGACTTTGGGGGGACATTTTTAGATATAAACCTTAACAAGTACACTTTGAGAGAAAATAAATGTTATCCCTACCTGACTGTGTCAAAAATCTCCACAGCTAATCAGTTTTGGAGCCAAAAGGTCATAAACCTCAAAGAAGCTATAGTATTCGTGGCTACAGTTTTAGTGAAAAGATACACAATAAAATAAAGGGAAGAGCATGGACAAAGTTCAGGGGAAATTAGGTACAGGCTCCCACTGGTGTCACATGAGAAAGTACTTAGTTCTCCCAGACGCAATATGTGGCCACACATGGCAAAATATGGCCAACCAGGGAAGCCTGCCCTGTCCTCGATCTTCTATTTCCCTGGAACTAGATGACAGAGGCATCTAGTACCTTGCATGACAGACCTTAGCAATTTAGTCTCAAGTCCTCCAGAAATCTAATGCTACCTCATGGCCCAGAACCTAGAAAACATGTATTCACCTGGGCATGGTAGCGCATGCCTGGAATCCCAGCACTCGCGCAGGCTGAGGCAGAAAGGGTGTCAATTTGAACCTAACAACTAACAACACAATGAGAATTTGACTCAAAATTTTAAAAAAGCAAGGAGGGGGCATTGTTGGTATAGCTCAGTGGAAAAGTCCTGGGTTTTAATATTGTTCCCAATAAAGCCAAAAAATAAAAACGAAAGATATGCAAATGTCAAATGTTAATGTAAGCTCTCTCATCAAGCTAGTATGATGTGTCCTAAGGTCTTAGGCATATTAACACATTTTTATCACGCTGGACAGTCCAAGGACTCAGCGGTTACTTTCCAGGAGCTGGGTAAGGGCCAGTCCCAAGCACAAGCTCTTCTTTGAAATCTGTAGGGCTTGAACAGCCTGAACCTGCTGAGTTAACCCTTAACTGTGCACTTATGTAATAAATGTCAATTTATTAGAACTGCGTTCTAATAAAGAATAAACATAAAAAGGTGACATTTTCCTGCCTCCTTTGTAAAATGCAGAGAAATTTCAGTCAGGCACTGTGCTGTTGAGCTATCTTCCTGGCTCAGAGAAATTTCAAAACTGTAGCATAATTTGGGAGTAACTGGATGATGGCTTATACATTTGGAATATATTGTTTTAAGTGTATAATACAACAAATAAATATACTTAATTCTTCCCACTGAATTATTCCCATTGAATTCAGTAAAATTCAAAGATCTCTTTCAATATCAATTTTAATATTGTTCCTGTAATATATAGCTGTACATCTCACTCCAAACTTGTTGATAATAGGAAATGTAGCATTGTAAAAAGTGTTATGAACCCAAATAATTTCATAAAAACTGTATTTTATAGTTAGTATGGAATTGCAAGGTTGATGAACCCACTGAAGAAGCAATCTCCAAAAGTAAGAGGTTTCAACATCTACACTACAGAGCTGAAGAAGAATCTCATCCTAAGAAAATGCAGACAGATAGTAAATGTCACTGGGGCCAGGTTCTTGGGTCCAGAAACAGCACAAATATGACTGGACATAGAAGAAAAACAGGCTTCGTATTCGGACTTCTGCACAAGCCAGGAGGGAGCCGCACTCTTGACAAAGGGCAGGTGAAACCAGCTCTTCTTCAGGTAGGTCCTGGGTGGAAATAAGGGCTTCGGACCTGCAGAGTTCCAGTTCTGGCTGCTCAGTGTCTGAGCTCGGTTAATAAGGTTCAACTCTTAGCACTTTTAGGGGAAGAGGTTTATGGAGGCTGATCCTTGTTACTAGGCTGTGTTTGTAGGTATTTTTAACTCAAAACTGTTGTGTGAGCTCTGGGTCCCCCTTTCCGTCCTTTCTGGTACAAACAGGAACAGTCCTTGCAGGGTCCTTTCTTAGCATTTGATCATGGTATCTGGGTAGTCCCAGATTGTTCCATAAACATTTATACAAGCAGTCTGGAAGTAAAGGAGACAGAGACAGAGACAGAGACAGAGACAGAGACAGAGACAGAGACAGGCAGAGAGACAGACACA